ACATAGCTGGCTCATGGTATGGCCCAGGTACTGACTTTTTTTTTTTAATTGAAGTATATTTGACATGTAATATTATGTTAGTTCCAGGTATACAACATAGTGATTCGACAACTGTATACATTATGAAATGCTCACCCCAATGACTATAGTTACCATACAAAGTCTTAAAATATTGTTACTGTATTTCCTATGCTGTACTTTTCATCCCTGAAGCTTGACCCTCTTTATCCCCTTTACCTATTTTGCCCATCCCCTCCCTCCTCTCCTCTCTGGCAACCACCAGCTTGTTTTCTGAATTTATGCATCTATTTCTGTTTATTTTGTTAGTTTTGTGTTTTAGATTCCACATGTAGATGAAATAATATGCTATTTGAGGCACTGGCATTTTTTAAAGTACATCAACTAATTCCACTGTACAGCCAAGACTGAGAACCAATGTGTACATAGTATCAAACAGAATCTATGTGAGTTTGGCTTTTCAGATTTGAGTTTTCTGCAGCTTATTTGTCACCCTAATGGTATATTAACCCATTCTGCTTTCATTTCCAAGGGGAAAGAGCTTAGCTGAATAAAGCAAAAAGCCAAACATGATTTATGTTATGAAATGAGAATATGAAAAAGGTGGGAGGTGGGAAAATATAACTGACCCTATATCTGCACTTGAAACTCTACAAGGAGCAGTGAAAAGAGGATGAAAATAAAAAAGTAAAAACAACAATGAGGATAACTATGGTCAGCTGAAGTGGGAAAATGTAAAAGGAGAAAACGAAACTAGCACTCAGGTAAAAAGTTAAAGTAAGCTGCTGAGTGTTTGCCAGTTTCAATTTTCTTAGGGAAAATGAGTATCCAACAGAGAAAACTATAAACTCTCCCTGAAGGCTGTATAGTAAAGGTTACTGGAAAAGGCACTGAAGGTTAGCCATGAAAACTCCAACTCTACCTTCTTTTTTCACTTTGGTGACAACATTCTGAGTCTCTGACCATCGTTCCACAATCTCCTTGCAAATGTTAAAGAGGGAATCTTCTTCCTAGTTGGAAAAGCAGACCAATTAATTTCCTGAGAGAGCCCTCAACCTGAACAAAACCTATGTAAAGGGCACAACTCTCCCTGCTGGATGAGAAGAAATCACAGGGAGGGTTTGGGAGCCCACAGAATAGAGTATGTTTCTCATCTGAGACTCCAAACACAGAAGTAATGCTATGTGTGAGTCCAGAATCCACAACTGCTAGGTCAAGAGCACCTACTCCATCCTGCCAAGCTCCAGGGAAAAGGACTGCCATCAACTCAGGGCAATCTTGCTCATTCTTTTGGAGCAAAAAGCTGTTGCCTAAGTCAAACCTCTCCTCCGTGAAATCTCCCCTGGCTAATATACTCAACTCAGTACCCTCTTGAAGCCTTATAAACATTGATACTAGAACACATCCATGAGCTTGCTGACCCCTATTAAGCAGAGATAAATAAGTAGGTGGTCTCCCATCCAACCACCCCTTTGACAATTTTGCATAAGCCTATATTTCCTCCATGCCCCCCAGTCTTCCTCCTTAGCATGGCACAACAAAAGATGCAGGCTTTGGGGCAAGACATACTTAAATTCAAATCCCAGATCTGTGAACGAGTTTCTTAACTTTCTGAGCTCCACATCTTCCCAGAATTTTAGTAAGGATGAATGAGAATGTGTATAAAGTCCCTACCCTGCTTGGCAAAGAAGAGGCATTTCGACAAACACGGATATTTCCCTCCATCTTCATTATAGCTGCTTCACCATCTTTACATTCTAGCCCTCAGGACAAACTGTCAGAGTTCACATTTACTAAGTGTTTACCACATGCCAGGCACTGTTCTCAATATTTTACATAAGAACTCTAAATTCTTAGAACAATCCTATGAAATGAGTACTATCACTATTCTCAATTTATAGATGAGGAAACCAAGGCACCCAAGGTCATACAAGTCATAAGTGGATTACACAGGATTCGAACCCAGGCAGTCTGGCTGGGAGACCGTGTTCTCAATCATTATATTACACCATCTCTCAAAGAACCGTGAGGAGAGGCAGAAGCACAGGCCTACTATGGATCCTTATTTTGTACCCGATCCTTACTGTGTATCCAACACAGGATTCCATCTCTGCCCTGCTCCTTTTAGAGCACATCAAACACAGAACTTCTTTGGTCCAGAGTGCACGTAGGTCACAGACCCCCAGCAGGAAGAGCAAAGGAAGAGGAAAAGAGAAAAAGAGGAGGCAAGAGAGGAAGGGCACTCTTGGAAGACGGGGTAGTTTATCCTCCCTTCTCCTCACCCTTGAATAACATGGAGATTAGGAGCACCGACCCCCCACTCAGTCAAAAAGCCACATATAAGTTTTGACTCCCCCAAAACTTAACTACTAATACCCTGTTCACTGGAAGCATCACCAATAACACAGTCAATTAACACATGTTTTGTATGTTATGTGTATTACATGCTGTATTCTTACAATAAAGTAGGCTAAAGAAAAGAAAATGTTTTTTCAAATTGTCACAAATCTGAAAAAAGTTTCGTTTATTGAAAAAAAACCTGCATGGAAGTGGACCCCTACAGTTCAAACCTATGTCACTCAAGGGTTAACTGTAGTTCATTCATCTATTTGATCATTTATTCATCCAGATCATGCCTGTTATGCTCAAGGCACTAAGATGAGTGCTAAGAGATGAAGAAGTAGTTCCTGGCCTCATGACACTTACAATTTAGAAGGCTGGTATATAAACACGGGCTATAAACTGTAATACCCTACTTAATGTAATGATCCAAATGAAAATTGCAACTCACCCCTCCATTCCATCCTGATCCTCTTACAATGCTCATTATCCTTTCCTAACATACTATGTAACTTACTGATTAAGATTTCCCTGCTAGAGTGTAACCCCTTATGAGCAGGCATTTCTGTCTGTTCCGAGGTACCACAAGCACTTACTTAGGACAGTGCCTAGCAGAAAGTAATCCATCAATAAAGACTGGAGGAACCAACCAATAAACCAATACAAATGCTATCGGAGGGAATAAAGAGGATGACAGAAGCTGTTATTTACTGCTATTTGCTCCTGACTATACACACTGTTCTTGAATCTTACCTCAAACTGTTGCTTAAGACAAACTTCTTAATTCCTAAAATTAAATCCTAGCCCAATCTGGTAACTGATTTGGCTATGCCTTTTGTTTTTCCTAGAAAGGAATTTGGTACAAGAGCCAGGGGCTTTTATGTGTAGCCCTACTGACTGACAGAGAGAAGCACTGTAAATTATGTTTGAAATACACCATATTCATTGGCATTGCTGCTCTATAAAGTTGCTCCTGCTGTTTCATGGACAGGAGCCTCTTTATATAATTCCTGTCCAATTCTTCCTGAAGTCAATTTCTACATAGATAGGGCAGGGAAAACAAGAAAAGTAAGCATGGTGTGTGTATTGGGCAAAAGGGTGAGGGAGAGAAACCCTTAAAAATAAGTTTGTCTTCTGCACTTTACGTAAACATGAGACATATAGAACAAATCCGAATCTAGTTCTAGATAACCTTGTCTCTTCTACCAATAGTCGAAGGCAAATCCATGCCTGCCTTAATCAGGAGACATACAGCTCCAAATAATGACACCATGAAAAGAAAAGGTCAAGAAGCTGATACCAATGGGTATCCAAGTTACTTCAACTTCTTTTTCATGTTGGCTTTAGAAACTTCTCAGCTGGAAATAAAAACTAATTTAAGTTTCTTACCTTTTACTCTCTCCCCTTACAACCTTCAACATCAGGGTCCTAGAAAAGAATTTATTTACTGTGTTCTATTTTCACCGAACTTATGAGCTGCATCACAAGCTGTGTTAACGTTTTCCCAGCTATTGCTCTGGTCAATCTCACCAGAGCAGGCTTTGGGACTAAATGAGAGCACTTGCCAGAAGACCTGGGACGGCCTCAACTAGCCATACCCTTAATCAATGAACTGTATTTCCATTGAGTAAGTTTAAGTGGAGATGAAGGCAGCAGAAATTATTAGGTTGGACTAGTGGACAACTTGATGAATTACTATTTAAACATAGCATAAAGTACACATTTCTGAATTCTTGAATCTGTTTCTAAGAGGCTAAGTACCAAGTTTATTCCTTTTTCAAATCCCGACCTTATTTCCCCACCTACTCCACACACAAGCGCGCGCGCGCACCAACCATTGCTGCATTTCTAAATGTTATAAAGTATTATGCACAATATTTGCTTCTGTTCGGCCTAGGCATGAAAAGATCTGTACCCTCAGCTTACCTTTTCTGGACTCCTACCTCCAAAATGGAAAGAGAGTACTCCCCGCAGGATTTTGTAATGGGACAGCCCTGAGCACTTACTTTCACCGTAAACCAATGGGAGTGAAACTGGTCATTAAGACGTTTATGATAAAACTCTCATCTAGACATTTCAGCGGCTTCGGAAAAATGACCAGCTCACTCACAGACACCGAGAGGGCCTTGTCCCCAGGAATAAGGGAAAGCCATTCCTTTCTATGCACCTGCAACCTTCCGGCTTCCCAAAACTCTGGTTGGGGAGCAACCCCCTTCCCCCGCGACCCAGAGATCAGAAAAGTAGCCCTCTCCACGGTGAGACCACTAACCCTCTAGGACGCCGGGTAGGGGAAAGGAGATACGAAGTACTGACACAAGTTGGCAAGAGCTAAAGGAATGTGTCCGGGCTTCTCACCAGGAAAGCAGAGAGGATACCCTGCAAAGCGTCCAGCTTCTCTTCTTCCTCCTCCTCCTGCAGGACACCCAAAATATAGGCACCGTAAACGGCTCGGTCCACTCCCAGCGCCTCCAACCTTCCGTCCAGCCACGATCCAAAGCCGCTGCCCCCGCCATCGCCTTCGTTGGAGGCAGCAGCGGACTCTTCGCTGGGCGCCGCCATCTTGGGGTCGGGGTCCTAGTAACCCCCAGAGCGCCTACCGCAGTGCCTGTCGGACCGCGCCGCATGCCCACTGCGCATGCTCAGAGAAGGAACCTGCGCCGCAGCGCGCAAGGCGTAGAATCCTGCCAACCCGTAGCCAGCGGTCAGGGCATCTTGTACTTTCGGAATGGAACGCGTCCTGGCGCATGCTCGGTTATATGGTGTCTGGAACGCTGGCAGGTGAATATTCTTAAAAGACTGTTTTTTTACATTTGGGGAAGTTCTCTGAACTGGTCAGTAACTTGGCCAAAGTCATGCGGCTAATAACTAAACTGAACTGGAACTCGGCTTCGATTCCAGTTCTTCAAGATGACCCTCGACGCGTTCTTGTGAGACGCCGAGCCACCCACTCCCACACAGCTTTCCAGCATGTTTACAGCAGGAACCTGACAACTCTGTCCGGAATACCTACCGTCGCTATCATCTACCACCACCTTCACCTTTCCAGGCCCCTCACCTATCAAAACCTAAGCTCCAGAACACCTGAATCCCTGCAATCTGTATTAAGACCACTCCAATGCTGTACTTAATGCAGTACTGGACGTTTAGTAGGTGCTCAATAAATGATCAGGCAACCGCGAATCATTAATTTCTCTCATTCATTCAGCACTTACACAGGAGTATCTTTGAGGAGTACTCTTTACCCTCTTTGCCTGGCATTGTGCGTTTGATGCATTATCTGTTGTAATCCTCCCAACGACCTGTGAGTTGCTTTTATTGCCCGCATGTTTAAGACAGGAATCTGAAACACAGAGTCACACAGCTACGGGGTGCCAAACCAGAGGCAAAAGCTAGTGCACAGCAGTCAGAGCCTCAACTGACTCTGCACACTGAAATAAGTTGCCCAAGAACCTGGGTTGGCTTTCCCTAAACAGCAGAGGCTGGCAGTTCACTGGCCTAACTCTTTCATTCAGTAAATATTTCCTGAATGCCTAGAGTATGGCATTGCTGCTGGGCACCAAAAATCTATGCCCTCAAAGGGTCTTTAGTCCTTTGGGAACAGACGTATTTAAACCAATGACAATATAGTGAGAAATGTTTAATGGAGGTTGCAGTAAGATGCCTAGAAGATTAGGTTAACGCTGCCTGTTGAAGTGAGGTGGGGGGAAGCTGTGGGGATGAGGGATCCAGGAAGGCTTCCTGGTGCGTGCAGTTTTTTGAAGAATGAATAAAAGTTCTATAGGCAAAAAGACTGGAAGAGAAAGGGAGCAGACCAGATGTAGGAACTGTGTGCAAAGGTTTGTTAGGCGGTCTCCAGAGAATCGCGTGGCTTGAACAGAGTTCAGATAAAAGATACGCAGAGGTTGACAACAACAAAAAAGGGAGGAGCTTGCATACCTGCAAAGGGGCTCTTGACAGAGTTCTCTATCCTTATCATCATTGGGATAATGAAAATGAATGGACACAGAACACTATAAAAGTCAGAGGAAATACAGGATAGTGTGAATATTAGCCCTATAGCTTGTATGTGTTAACTGAGTTAGAATGTGACAGTAATAGAGTCAGATCAGAGTCAGCCTCCGAACCACCTGCCTCTGTTTCCTGTTTTCAGATGTACCTTTTAACCCAGAGGTTGTCTTGCACGTGGGTCTCCTCAGCTGACAGAACTGGAGGCGATCATGGCTTAAGGATCATAATTCGAGGTCAGTATAGAGCCTGCATAACCAGAAAAGTAGCACAGATGTTTGTTAGTTGTGTTTTTTTTTTCAATTTTTTATTTTGAAATAATTACAGAGTCACAGAAAGTTGCAAAAATAGTACGCAGAGACCGTGCCCCGTCACCCAGCTCCCCCTATGGTGACGTCCTACATAACTATAGTACAGCATCAAAACCAGGAAATTGATATTGGCACAGTGCACAAAGGTTTTTTGAAGGTATTACAAGCTCCTCACGAAACTGAGTGAAGGCCCTCATAGCCCGCATGAAAAAAAAAGCCTCATTAAATATTTTATTCAGAAGTCATTGCTCACGATTTAAAAAAAAAAACCATAGAGCTAGACAAATGAGAGCTTATAGAAAAATCAAAATGGCTTTTTACATTATAAAAAGATGCTGTCACATTTATGACTTTTAAAGTATGCAAATTAAACTTGCAATGAAATAGCATGTTTTCTTCTCAGATCAAAAAAATTCTGATAATACTTGGTGTTAATCCGTGATTGGGTTACCGGCACTGGAATGTTGGAGCAGGAAGTAAATTGGCACAATCTTGTTGGAGAGCAGTTTGAAAACACCCAGCATTTCTATTAATTGTAATACATAACCTGTGTGCAGAATGATGCATATATAAGGATATTCATTGCAGCGATTCTTATCATAGTGAAAGAATAGAAATAGTCTACATTCTATCTATAGGAGACTGGCTCAAAAAAACCACAGAAACAGAAAGCGAGCAGCGGTAGCAGCAGCCCGAGCAGCCCGGTCCACCATCCATCACTGGAGGAGCAGCCCTCCTACAAAGGTAATCAGAAAACTAAGGAAAATAACCATGTTATTTTATCTACAAAGGATGACAACAGCTTTTCAGATAAGAACAAGGAGCATAGCTTTTTCATCACAGACTCTGATGCTTCTGGAGGAGATTTTTGGAGAGACAGATCAGCTGAACACACACAAGAAACGAATTCACCTCATTCACTTAAAAAGGATGTAGGAAATATGGGGAAAGAAGAACTTCAGAAGGTTTTATTTGAACAAATAGATTTACGGAGACGACTAGAACAAGAATTCCAAGTGCTAAAAGGAAATATATCTTTCCCAGTATTCAATAATTTTCAGGATCAGATGAAAAGGGAATTAGCCTACCGAGAAGAAATGGTGCAACAGTTACAAATTATCCCCTACGCAGCGAGCTTGATCAGGAAAGAAAAGCTTGGTGCCCATCTCAGCAAAAGCTAAAAGGTACACAGAACCACTTGCTTTCGCTCTCTTATAAGATACAGCCTGCCACTGAGCACTTCTGACCTGCATAAAGACTGCAAATTGAAAGGGCTTGGGAATCAAATATAAAGTCAGGCTCGTGAGAACCCAAGGACAAGTGACCTCAAAGCTGCATGGACAACCATGTAAAATAGACTGTAGCAGCCATTCATTAGCGGGGGGAGGGGGGAGCCAACCAGAGCAGTCAATGCTTGTCGCATCTTTTGGTGGAACCAAAGTTTTGAGTCTTTGTGTTTTTAAAGGCCCACTGAACCCAGAGAGTGGAAGTGCTGTTAGCCAACCAGGGTGGGAAATCCACGGATGGTCCCAAGGGATCTCAGTGCTGCATATTTAGAGAGAGCAGCTCTACAAGACTGTCTTTTACGTTTGAAGAAGTGATTCTTGGTGGAAAGAAAACACAAGACCTGTCCTAGGAGTGAGGATCACTTTTCTACAGCTAGGACAGCATCAGCTGAACAAACCGGCTTTTCCTAGCAAACTGGGTGGACTTCCATGTGACCCCCTTCCTCTCTGGTACTTTGCCTGCTGTATGAATGAAGATTGTATTCCTCTGGAAATATTTTACAGTTTAATACTGAGTGTAATTAAGAATATAATCATGTTATCAAAAATGGTATTTAACTCTGTTGTAGTTTCTTTAACATTCATGTGGATAAAAAAAAGTCTATAATAAAAAAACTAAGTAAAAAAAAAAAAACCACAGAAACAAGTATGGTGCAGCTGTAAAAATGAAGGAAGCTCTTTATGTACTGACATGAACAAAATTCAAGATTCCTTGTTAAATAAAAAAATGAGGCTCAGAACAGTAAGTAATGTTGCTATCATTTGTGTTTAAAAAGAAGGGGGATAGGGGAATACATGTACATATATGTCCTTGCATGTGCATAAAATATCTCTGGAAAGATACCCAAGGATGTGAGGATGGTTATCACTGAGGAGGAGAAATCAAGGAGACTAGCTTTAAAACATCTGTTTTTAAAATTATGAGGTATTTGTTATATTTATTTACCTTCCCTTCTTTTTTTTTAAGATATAAAGCTTACTTGAAGCCTTCCTCTATTCTCATTTTCTTCCCTCTCCCCAGAGGTAAACACTATTCCTCAGTTTCCTGTTATCTTTCTCCTGAATATTTTGAAACATACTACATATCACTATATGTGTGATACATATTACATGTATGTATACATGTATATGTATGCATAAACAATATATCACATTGTTTTGCATGTTAGATTTTTTTTTCTGCAATATGCTTTCTTCTCTTAAAGGATTGTTTAGAACATTTACCCACATTAATACATGTAGCTTTTATCCATTCATTTACACCAATATAGTATTCTGTTGCTTGAATATGACCTAGCTGATCCATTTCTCTGTTGATGGACCTCTAGATTCCCAATTTTCCAAATAGTGCTTCAGATCACATTCTTACATGTCTTCTTGCCCACCTGTGGAAAAATTTCTCTAGGTCAGTGAGTATCAAACATATTTTTGCTACATATTCTTTGCAGTAAAAATATTTTCTCCAGGCACCTCTAATGTAATATATGTATTTATTTGTGAATTACAGATATGAACCATTATACCAAATTAGTATGTCCATAAGACATAGAAAATAACTAAAAAGGGTTATTAGTTAAGTAAATACTGTGTTACAGATATTTGCTTGTGGTACAGAAATCCTCAATGAACATAATGTGGTTGAGTATGCTTCATTACTTCCCCCTTCTTTTTTGTTTTCATTCTCAATTGTGTAAAATGCACCTGTAAAACTTATCATCTTAACCAGTTTTAAGTATACAGTTCAGTAGTGTTAAGGAATCATTACTGGCAAGAGTTTCTCTTGACCCACAGTGATTTTTCTCAAGTGTTGGCCAGCAGGATTATTTGTAATCTTAATCTTGCTTTTTCAAAGGAATCTTATTAAACCCCTTATCCACTTTGGGGGATTAGGGAAATTAAATCTAGATCATATAATCCATAAGAACATTTATTTGAGAATGTGTAAACTGCTTAGAACGTTGAAAACAAACACACAATACCCCTCCAAATAATGAAGCTTCCCCATACCTCTAACCAGATAATTCGCCTGCCTTACTATGTAACTCAGGGTGTCTGACAAGAGTCCAGGGTAGGTTACCAGCACCAGCGTCAATCTGTTCACTAAAGATTAGTAAAGCTTACTTGTTTTTCTTCTTTTGTATAAAAAAAAATTTTTAATTATAACGTTTCCTTTTAGCACCTTTGTGATTATCTTGTGTCTGAGGGCTGCACACCTCTCTTTGGAGACCAGGATATACCTAGAAACAAAATTACTGGGCTGAAGGGCTTGTACCATACTGGGTATCACCAAATTGCTCTCCTAAGGGCTTCTCCCAGTTTATATGCCCACCCTTTTCTTTCTTCACACTTTACTAAAACCTGGTTTTAATATAAATAAATTTTTTTTTGCCAGTCAAAAGGGTGTGAAATGGTATGTAATTGTTTAATTTGCATTTTCCTAATTATTGGTAAGTTTGAACATTTTATATAGTTATTAGCCATTAAAATTTCCTTATTGCCTATCTATATCCCTTGTAGATTTTCCTACTGGGTTATTTGTCTTTTCCATACTGATTTGTAGGAATCTACTTTTTCTTTTCTTTTTTTTCTATTTCATTAATTTCTATTCTGTATTACTTCTAACCATCTGCAATTTCTGGGTGTACAATGTTGTTCATTTTCTGACTTCTCAAGGTGAACACTTAGCTGATTCACTTTCAGTCTCTCTTATTTTATAACATAGCATATACATTTGAGGTCATGCACATCCCTAGAGTTACTTTAGCTGAATTTTACAGCTTTTTGAAAGGAATCTCATAGCTTTTGATATGTAGTTTCTCATTGTCGCAGCTCTAAACATATGGCAGTTTCCATTGTTTTATTCTCCTATCATGAATTATTTAGAAGAGTGTTTTTAAATTTCCAGAGGTATGCATTTTATTTTATGCCTTTTTAAAACAATTATTTTTATTGATTTCTAACTTCATTATATTGTGGTCATAGGATAAGTTCTGTATGATGCTCATTTTTTGGTTTTGGTTGAACCTTTAGTGGCATGGTATAAGTTAGTTTTTATAATGTTCCATGTTTACTGGAAAATAATGTTTATTTTCTAATATTTGTATCTTAAAGTTTGTCATATAATTTAATCTTTTATATGTTACTTGTTTTGTTTTTGTTTCATCTATCATTTTATTTTGAGGGGAAAGTATGCTAAAATATCCCACCACATTTGTAGATTTTACAGTCTTCCCTTGTATTTCTGCCTTAAATATTTTGAGGCTATGTGGTTATATTCATAGAGACACTAGGTTATTTGATTTCTATATTGGAGAATTGTTTGTCATCAAGCAATGACGCCTTTGTCTCTAATAAATTCTTTGTCTCATAAAGTCTATTTTGTCCTATTTCAATATTGCTGCATCAGTTTTTTTTTTCCTCCATTTTCTGCCCTATTTTGAAAGACAGCAGAGAGCAATGTTGTAAGAGCGGCCTCTGAAGTCAGGCTGCTTGAGTTCAAATCCCAGCACTAACACTTTCTGGTTGTGTGACCTTGAGCAAGTTATAACCTCCATGTTCCCATGTATAAAATGGGTTTAGTTACTACCTATCTCATAGGATTGTTACAAGAATTAAACTAATTACTATTTTCAAAGCACTGTGAACATCATAGTAAGCACTCCATATGTATCTTAAGGTACAATAAATGAATATATCTGCATCCTTTTTCTGTGCCTTTATTTTATAGGTATTTGTCTGCTAAACACCAAATAGCAGGTAGATACTGCAGTGCAGCAGTAGATACTTTTATTACGTAAGTCATATCACATATGTGTGAGTGTTCTGTAGAATAATTCCTAGAAATAGGACTGCTGAGTGGAAAGATATGTACATTTGTAGTTTTGCTAGATAGTGCCAAATTGCTGTGCAGAGAAGGCTGGTATAACCCTCGTGGAAGGCAGTGTGGTACTATCTAGCAAAATTCGTCTTTGCCAGTCTGTTAGATGAAGAATGGTATTTCAGTTTAGATTTGATTTGCATTTCTCTTAAGTGAGGTTGTGCATATTTGAATGTTCTTTGTATTTCCATTTCTAGGAATGTTCTGTTACCCATTTTCAGTTATGTTGTTGGTCTTTTCTGTATCTTCAAATTTTTTAGATATTGGGAAATTGGTCCTTGTTCTGTGATAGGAAATGAAACTTTTTTTTAGTTCTAAGCACTCTCCTTCAAAGAATCAAGAAAAAATGATGAGAAAGAATATTTTGAATTATTATCTCAAAATATTTTCTGCCAAGTAGGAAAAGCTACCTTTTTCTGCTCATGACTTTGTGCTAAACACATCTTTAGTCTTTAAAACCTCACTGCCTGGTGGCTAATATTAACTTCATTTTACCTATGAAAAATCTGAAAATCAGAGAGATTCATTCATTCAACAAATGCTCATTAAGTACCTACTGGTTTTTTACTTTGGGAATGGATATACCAGTGAGTAAAACAGTAAAGGTCCAGCTATTTATAGGCCTTCATTCTAGGGGAGAAATAGAGACAACAGAAGAGTAAACAAGTTCTTTCTGATAGTGGCTGTGAAGAAAATAAGCCAAAGTGGCACACTTTGAACGAGGGAGCTACTGATGCCGGGGTTCTTATTCATGAAGCTGAATGATGAGTTTCACAAACACTCAAGGTAGGAGAGCAAGGTACAGGCTTTATTTAGAGATAAAGTGAAAGGACAGGGCTCCTGGCTTATGCCAGGAGGGGACAAGAGAGTCCATAGTGGTGTGTTGTCTAGGGGGTTTTATAGGCAGTTGAGGATTTTTCGAGAACATGAGAAAAAGCTTAGGGATGTGGACTTAAGTGGTCCTAGGATATTTAGAATTAACTAGATATAAGTAACTTCCTGCTGTATTGATTTCTCCCTGAGACACCAGCATCTTGGTCTGGGGGCATATGAAACAAGGCCACCTGCTCAGTCCCCAAAATGGGATGAGGCATTGTTTGCTAAAGAGTAAGTTAAGTGCAATCTTATCTTTAAGGTGGAATCCTTCTAGCCCTTCGCTGTGTTATGGCTGGGCTTGCATGCTAAATTAGTTTGCCCAGTCACTTCATCAGATCTGAAGGAGGAAAGACAGCACATAGGCCTGGGCCTTTTAGCATGTTAAAGTGAATCTTACACATGATTATAAATGATTAGAATAAAATAAACATGTGCTACTCTTCTTTATCTGGGGTATATTAACTGATCTCACTGAAGAATGACTCTAGAGCTGAATGTTTTACACAGAGTTTTAGTAGGGGGTTTCCTTGCAAGTAGTTACATTGCTCTGACTGCAAATAGCCTGCCTTGTTTTTTCCCCGAGGCCCTCACCCTACTCTGACTACACCCACTCTGTCCCTGTCTCACTACTATTGGATGGGTGGTCTCACGTCTTATCTGAAAAAGTGAGATTTGATCTGATGCCTAAAAGGAAAAAGATCTTGGAAATGAAACTGTTAAGTGCAAAGGTCCTAACACAGGATGAGCTTGGCTCGTTCAAGCACTAAGACATTTGGTCCGAGAAGCAAACAGGTTAAGCCACTGGGAATCTTTGAAAGGGAAGGTAATTTGATCTGATTTTATTTGTCAGGATAAACCAGGTTAGCAATTCTGAAAAGTGGTTTCAGGCCTCTTTACATTTTTAAAAATTCAGGATCCCAAACAGCTTTTTTGTTTATGTGTATATTAGTTACTTATTGCTGTGTGACAAATCACCCCAAAATTTCATGACTTAACAATCAATTTATCTAGCTTTCTGTGGGTTTGGAATTTGGGAGCTACTTGGATGAGATTTTCTGGCTTAGGATCTGTTGTGAGATCTCAGTCACCCAAAAGCTTAACTAGGGCTGAAGGATCTGTTTGCAAGATGGCTCAGTCACCCAAGTGGTAAGTTAGCAGGAAACCTCAGTTTCCACATGAGCCTCTCCGCAGGCATACTTCAGTGTCCTCTTGCCGTGACCGCCGGCTTCCCCCACAGCAGGTGATCCAAGGAACAGCAATACAGATGTTGAAATGTTTTCTATGACTTAGCCTCAGAAATCACACATTGTTATTTCCTCAGTATTCTATTGGTACATAACCCTGTTTGATGTAGTTCATGACTACCAGGAGTTGAGTATCACTGCAGGCCATCTGAAGAGACTGGCTACCACAATGTATTTTAAAATTTATATGTATAAACATTTTATATATTTGTCTATATATTTATAAAATAAATTCATATTTGGTATTTACTATATTAGAAATTAAAATTTAAAAATATTCATTTGAAAATAAGCCCACCGTGTGTTAATATATATGATGCATTTTTAATGAAAATGTATTTTCCAAAAAATAATTTGAAAAATGGTATTGCTTTGTATTTCTATAAATCTAATATCTGGTTTAACAGAAGAGTGTGGGATTGTCATTTTGCTTCTGCATACTCCACTGAACAGTCACAAGAGGATGAGAACAAAAATGGAAAATAATGTCTTGGTATTATTTTAAAAATAGGTTTGACCTCATGGAACCTTCTGAAAGGGCTGAGCCACACTTGGAGAACCTTGAGCTAGATTATGAAATCCTATCAAGTGAGGCCAAAATCTCAATAGCTTACAACAAGAAAGGTTTATATCTTGTTCATGCTACAAATCCATTTTAGGTTGCCCTTGGTTTTATTGCATGTCATCTTCACTAAGAAACCCTAGCCCCTAGCTAGGACATTGTCAATCATTGTGATGGGGGAAAAGCTTGATAAAGCTCATCTTGGCTCTTAAAACCTGTGTTTTGAACTGATGTAACTTTTTTTCTTTTATCATCAGCTAAAGCAAGTCACATAGCCAAGCTCTGGTTCACCAGGGCTGGTATGTATAATTTTTGGCAAGGAGGGGCCCCAGTGGAAGGGTTACCAAGTATATGGTATATACACCTCTACCATGGTGTTTCAAAAATATTCTGGTTGTGTGGGGAGAATGGATATATATAGCATTAGGAAGCTACTCAAAAATAGTAGTCCTAGCAGTTGATGTAATAATACCTTGGACAAGAAGTTCTAGCGACTTGGACTGGGGTAGCAGTAGTCTGATTCAAGATGTACTTTGGAGTTGGTAGAACTGTTTTTGGAATGGAGGTGGGGGTAAGGGAAAGTACTGACAACTATAGGTTTTTGGCTTGAGCAACTGAGTGGATCATGTGACATTTACTGAGATAGGAAAGACGGAGGGGAATTGGTGGGTTCTGTTTTGAACATATAAAGTCTGAGATGCCTGTTTTGACATCCAAATGGAAACACCCAGGAAGCACTTGAACATGTCTGGAGATCAGGGGAGAGGTCAGAACTAGAGATAGAAATTATGCAGGCATTAGCATAGAACTGAATTGTAAAGCTGTGAAGTAGAATGAGATCTCCTGGGGAAAGTGCTAATAGGTAAGAGGAGGCTGAGGGCTAAGACCTGCAGGCTTGGTGTGCTCCAGTATTTCCAGGTGGAGTAGTGGTTTTGGATCCAGCAAAGGTGATTGAGGAGAAGCCACTCAGATACGATGAAAACCGGTAGAAATCGAAGCAAAAAGAGTGTTTCAAGAAGGGAGTAGTTTATTTCAATGTTATAGAGGTCGGATAAGATGAGAAAAGTGACCGTTGGATTTGGGAACATGGAAGTCAGTTTACCTGAATAAGCACAGTTTTAGTGGAGAGACGAAGATCAAAGTGGGCAGAAGAAAAGATGCGAAGTAAGGAATGAAGACACCTCTTTTGAGAATTTCTTTGTTGGATGGTTAAGTGGAGAAAGGGGAGGGAGGCAAAGATGTGAAGATGAAATAATGTGTGAAATCTTTATGTAAACTGTCAGTGCTTTGTAAGTGTTAGGCTTATTTTGTTATTTATTCTCGACCTCCTCGGCATTTCAAACCACAATGTGAAGAATCACTAAGACGTTACCGCTAGTGCCCCGCATCCTGACTATTAAGGCGCAGAGTACTATCTCTACCCAATGAAAAGCCAAGAAATAGGAGACGGCTTTAAAAAACGGAACCGAAAACTTTTGGGGGTGTGGGAGTAGTTGCTGAGTTAATACTGTCCTCCCTGCGCTACCGTAGCTCAGCTCTCGCAGCTTCTACGTCGTGTTAGAGGCGGAGCCGACAGGAAATTTAAACAGAAACCGCGACCGGGGCGCCTAGAGAGTGATATTGTAGCGGCGGAACAACAACCGAGGTTCGGGAGTCCGAAAGCTCATGGAGCCCGTGAAGGTAGCACGGAGGTCTTGAAGAAGAGGTACGGAGGCCGAGAAGGAGCGGAGAGTTTGAGGAGGGAGCCGAGAAAGGGTACGGATGCCGGTAGGCGGAAGAAGGAGTCAGAAGGAAGGCGAAAGGGGTCGTAAGAGTTGCAGAGAGGATTCGGGGTCGGGAATGAGCACAAGAATTGGGGAGCAGATAGGTGCAGAATCAGGGGAGGTGGAGGGGCCGAGGAGGGGTCACAGGAGTCGAGGGGACAGAGGTCCAAACGGAGCGGAGGCCCTGGAGGGAGGCACAAGACCCGAAGTGTACACAGGGAGGCCCAGAGGCCACAGGGGTTGGGGAGTGTGAGGGGGCGGAGGGACTGCGGGACGCCGGGCTGGGAGGAGGTGCGGGAGCTGAGATGGCGTGTGGGTTGAGTCCTGCCTTTCAGAGAGCCGCGTGGGGAATTGCGCGGGATTTGGGAGGCGGGGGTATGGTGGAAAGCCGAAGGTTAACGAAGGTGGTTCATCTGCAGTTTTGTCCTTTCTCAGGCAACGATTGTCTTGAGCTGGAAAGTTCCATGGCCGAGAGCAGGCTCCGGGCTCCGGACCTAGGTAGGTAACAGGGATGCGCGGTCAAAGTTGCTACTCCTACCCTGGCTTTTCTTGGGGTAGGGGGGTGGCGGGGAAATGTTAGCCCTGTTGGGGTTTTCTAATTAGTTAGTGGTTTTGTGGGTGGGTATGTGGAGGGATTTCATGGATCATTTAGGAATTATGATGAAGGTCAAACAAGAGCTTTCAGTCTAATAGTATGAACAAAATTAGCAGACAAATGGAGAGTCGGGATAGAGTAAAACTCATATTCATGATTATTTTATCATAAAATTCGTAAGTTCATCGATAAACTTAAACACCCCAACCCAGTTAGATAAGTATTTGAGCACATGGTCACTTCCGTCAAAACTCCGCCTCCCCTCTCTTTTAGTGTTAGTCCTGTATTGTTACAGATAAACGCTATTTGGTTGTTGCCTTTTAAACAGCAATACCCTTTACTAAGTTGTTTATTTTTCCTTCCCATGTCTTTTTTTTTTCTGGATCTCTTTATCTTTTTGCTGGAGAACTGTCTCCAAGACTTCAAAAGTGGGCTTGTGTGATAAACTTTCTGAAGCTTGTATGCCTTAGAATATAATTATTTCACCCTTGTAATAAAATTCTTGAGTCAAAGTTCTTTTCCTTATACATTGAAAAATTACAGCATTTTCTTCTTGCAAAAAGTAGATGCTGTTGAGAATTGATGTCGATCTGTTTCTAGTTACTTTGTAAGTGACCTGCTTTTCTCTTTAGAATATTTTAGATTATTCTCTTTATATTTGTTCTGAAAATTCTCTGTAACATGACTATATGTGAATTTTAGAGGGTTGTTTTCTGATTTTCATTACAGTTTTATGGTTACATTGTTTAAAAGGCCAAGATCTCTCACACAAAAAAAATCAAGTGGGACCTGCCTCTCCTTTCATAACCCCCTGATTCTCCCTCCCCAGGGTGCAACCACTTACAGCCCTTTTAGATGTTTCTTCTAGTATTTACCTTATTTTTAAAAAACATGCTCATACTGCTTTTTTCAATTTTAAATTGTATCTGTTGACTTTGTAATATGGATGATAAAGATCTTTTTTCTCTCCCCCGACTTCTCTGCACCACAGAGAAACACACACACATTTCCTTCCTCTCCTCTAATCCTCCCAGTATATATGTAGTAATTTTTGTTTTGTCATTTTGGTATTTACATTATTATGACTGTGAAGATTATTCACAAATGAGCCATATAGTAAACTAGGAAATATGCTTCCCTCTCTATGTATGGATCATGAATTCATACCCAAACTATAAACCTTCTCCCAATACTTGGAGGCTCATCAGAGAATCTATCAGTTTCTCCTTTAGGAAACATAGCTTCTGAAACCATTTATCTTAGTACTCAGTCTGGTCCAGCTATGCACTGGGCCTGTTGCACTGATTTGATCTAGGGTCGCCATCATCCTGTGGAATTCTCTGCTTATTTCCTGCATAGGAACCTCTATGTTCTCAATTCCATATTTTCCTCTCCATTTACTTCCTCATTTTGGTAGAGTACATCTTCTAGTATAGCTTCCTGAGAAAGGGTACATGACAAGTAAGTTTTTCAAGACTGTGCAAGTCTGACAACTCTTTATTCCACCTTACATTTGAATGACAGATCAGTGAAGTAGAGTTCTAGGTTGAAAATAGTTTTCTCTCAGAATTTTGAAAACATGTTCCATCTTCTTTTAGCTTCCAGGATGCTATGGCAAAGTCTGATATATATATTTCTACCTTCCTCCTGAACACCTGCCTGAGCCTAGACTGAACCACCCCAACCCCCATCTAGCATTATTGCTATTGAGCAACAATATTGTTGTTGCTTTTTTACTACCAAACCAGTCGTCATTATTGTTTTCTACAGTCAGTGATTGTTAGATTTATACATATTTTCACCAATTTTTTAGCATTTCAGTCCTTTCTGGGTTCAGTTTCTGTCTTTCCAAAGTACACCTATGAGAAGTCCTTTAGTAAGAACTGGTTGGGGATAAACTGTCTGGTTTTGTTAGAAAAGTATCTTTATTTTGCCCTCATTCTTGAATAATTATTCAGTCAGATATAAAATCCGTAGTTGACATTTATTTGCTCAACATTTTAAATGCTCATGATTTAAATATTTACCTGTTAGTCTTTATCTTATCATTCTATTTAAGCTCTTGGGGATATAATTTATCTGTCTCATATTTCTGCTGATTCTTATCTGTGGTGGTTTCCTATGTGTGTTTTTTAATGTTGGAGTGTTTGATGATGGTTTATCTGAGGAAATTTTGGGAGCCCTGAACTAAGCTACGTACCTCAGAATTGTTTTGCATTTGTTTCTGAGATATGCCAAAGGTGTTACTAGCTGGGATTACTTTTTATATTAATTTCTCTGTTTGGTTGTGGTAGTAATGGGTTCTTAGGCCACATTAGGAGTATGGATTTGAATTCCAAACTCCTGAGAGGCCTGTAGTTACGAATTCTCAGAGAAGGCTTTCTTTGCATGCAGAGCCTGGGCTAAGATAGACAGTATTCCTTTTTGTCTCTTCTGGTGAGTGGATTATTTTCTGATTTACCTTTTCTTCTAGATTCATACAGGAGTTCTCAATTCTAACTCCCCACTGGAGGCTGGAAAAAGACCCTGTCTCCTGGGCCCATCTGGCTCTTCAATCCCCAGCCCTTTGCTTTTAGGCCCCAGACTCCCTCAAGAGAGTCAGCATTGCTTTCATCAATGTGGTTTTCAGTTTTCTCATCATTTTGAGCACTTGCAGAATCCTCTTATTTATTTATTTTGTGGACTTAGAAGTTAAGCGGAATTTGTGTTTATATTTCAGCTAGTATTTTTAGGTACTTTGTATTTGGAAGGATTTGAGTTACCTGGTCTTTGAGTGTTGCCTGAAGTGAAGCCAAAGTCCCCTCTTTCTCCTCAGTGTCCTAAACTATCTTGATTGACAATGTGCCTTATGTGGGACTGGTTTCATTCACCTTACAGTCACCTTGTGATGCCGGAGGCAGGTGATGAGGATAAGGCTCATCACCAGTCCCATTAACTTAGATCGCTTATTGGGTACAGTTATAAGAATGGCCAGGTCTGACATCCAGGGACATACTCCTGGTATGGCTATGCGAGATGTTTCTGGCCAGTCTCAGTTCTGAGTGGGTGGTGCCTATTAAGTACTTGAATATCCCCTTGATGTCATTACCTAACACTGTTTACAATATTTCATTCACTCCATTTGGACTGTCTGTGGGGGTGGGTATTTATTATCACTATTTCCAAGATACAGAAATAGAGATTTGAGGTACCAAGTGAGATTGTGACTTGCCCAGAGTTCCACAGCTAGTAAGAGGCAGAGGCAGGACTCACAAGTAAGAGCTTCTCTGGGAAATGGCAAGCCCACTTTCCAGTATTTTCTGTCTCCATACCTAGGAATTTGAGGAAGAGGGAGGTTTATGGGACCAGAAGGTAAGTGCTTGTGGGTCAAGTACCATCTGAGGATGGGAGAACAGGTTCTGGTTTAAACATAATGAAAATGATGTATAAGTCAAAATCTCTTCCCTAAATAGTTCCTAGTCCAATGAGGAGGCCAGAGCTTTACCCTGAAAGAGTAAACAAGAATGTGAAGCTGAAAATACTAAGAGGATAGACAATAAGTAATATGGAACTCAGAAAAAGAAAACTATCTCATTACGGCAAGCAGGGTTACCTAGAGGAGGTCCAGTTGAAAGTCTTCCTGGGCAGCAGATAGGAGAGATGCAGGAATTCATGGATCAAAGAGTTTTAGAAGATTTTCTTAAATATTTGGCCCAACCCCCTCATTTAAGGTCTAGCAGTTTTACTAACTACCTTGGTATTGGCCATTCTGGGTCAATTTTTTCAAGTATGTGATATGCTTTAAAAGTATGTTGGTTTCAAGCATACTTTTTTTATTTCAGGAAAGTTTTCTTACAGTTTTTTAGCATTGTGGATTTTTTGTTTTAGTTTTTGTCTTCAGGGACTCTTATTACATGTATTTTAGAACTTCTGTGCCTATCTTCAGTATTTGTCACTCTTAAATCCTTTTTTGTCTCTTCAGGTTTTAACATTTTATTATGAAAGTTTTCAAGTCTGCCACAAAGTTGAAAGAATTTTACAGAGAGGGCTGAGAGGCATACTGCTTATATTTTACCATGGACATTTCATATACTTGCTTTGTTACATACCCATCTTGTTTTTGATACATTTCAACTAACTTGTAGACATGAGTACATTTCGCTCTAAACAGTTCAGCATGCATTCCATTGACTATAATTTCATATTTGTTTATAGTTTTTCCCTTTTGATGTAAAATTTATGTACAATGAGATGCACAATTCTTAAAGGTACATCCACCGAGGTAGGTCTTTAATTTTTTTAGCTTAACTGAGGTATAGTTTATATACTGTAAAATTCATTTGTTAAGTGTAAACTTTCAATAATTTTTTTAGTTAATTTGCAGAGTTATGCAATGAACACAACAATCTAATTTTAGAGTACTTTCATATTCCCTAAAAGAAACTCATGCCTATTTGGATCTTTTCTGATTCCCACCCCCAGCAGTAAGCAACTACTAATCTGGTTTCTGTCACTATATATTTTTCCTTTCCTACACATTTCCTACAAATGCAGTCACACAATATGTTATCTTTTGTGTCTGGTCTTTCTTACTTAGCATGTTTTTGCGGTTCATCCTTGAATGTATTCGCAGCTCATTCCTTTTTATTGCCAAGTAATATTCCATTGTACAGTGTACCACATTTTGCTTCCATTTTATTTACATTTGAATTATTTCCACTCTTGGGCTAAAATGAATATCACTGCTTTCTTGCACAAGTTTTTATCTGAACATATGTTTTCATTCCTCTGGGACACATGCCTGGGAACAGGATTTCTGGGTCATGTGTTAACTTTATGTTTAACATTTTGAGAACCAGCAAACTTTTCTAAAGCAGCTGCACCACTTTGCATTCCCTCCATTGATGTATAGGACTCTGGTTTCTCCATATCTGAGGTTCCTGCAGGTAGGAACACTGGTCTCTCATTCATCTTTGTGTGTGCAGGGCCTCACTAGGGCACAGCACACACAGGCCGATGGTGAGAGCTGCAGGACACTCTTACTCCAGGCTTCTCACTTTGTTCCTCTTTGTTGTTTTTAGGGGCTCAGCTGGGAGTTTCCAGTTGTCTGAAAAAATGCCGAAGAGCTCACCAGATGCTAGAAGGCAGCCCTTTTCTGGAAAGTCCTTTTACTTGGATCTGCCTGCTGGCAAGAATCTTCAGTATCTGACAGGGGCCATCCAGCAGCTGGGTGGGGTCTGTAACCTGCTTCTCTCCTGTGCTACCATGTGCCTTTGGGGGTTGTAGGGCAGGAGCTGGAGGGGGGTTATGTTTATGGCTTCCAGTTATCTTCAATGGTATTACTACATTTCCCAAAGCTCTTTGAAGTATAACTTTTTTAAAAATACTTAAATTTATTCCTAATTAGAAAAATACCTGTTCACTCTAGAAATTTTAGAGAACCTGGAACTGCTCCGTTGACAGCCCTCATTTTGATGCTTTTCTCTTCTCTTTTCTTTCTTTCTTCCACAGCTTTATTGAGATACAATTCATATACCATACAATTAACTTATTTAAAGTATACAGTCCAGTGATTTTTAATACATTCACAGAGATGTGCAAATGGTATAACACAGCCAATGTTAAGAAATTTTTAATAATTTATTTTTTACTTTTTTATTGAAATACAGTTGCTGACAGTTTTAGAACATGTTCATCACCCCCCAAAAAAACCTGTACCCATTGTCAGTCGCTCCCCATTTCCTCTCAACATCCCCAGCCTGGGCTAACCACTCATCGACTTCTGCCTCTATTATTATTATTTTTTTTAATGCTTATCTTCTTTGTATCTATGATCATGAATACATTTTCAATTATCAACTTTTTGCCTGTAACCTTAAAGCATTAGCACTTTCCTATCATTGCCTCTCACATGCATTATTTGTAATGAGAATATAATATTCTTTAGGGTGGATTATTGATTTACTTAGCTGTTAACCTATGGATATTCAGATTATTTCTAAATTTTTGTTATTTTAAATATCACTGTGGTAAAAACATCTCTGGGTAAGAAAGCATTTGCTATATTTGAGTCCTTTAAAATATTTTTAAAGTATATATATGTCATATGATTCTTTTAGTAAGGGGTTGACATGGGTATCTCTTGTGTTAGAAAATAGGTTGATAGTGCTTGGCCCAGGAGAGGTGGGTAACTAGGGAAACTGCTTGACTAGACTTAGAATACAGAGGCTCTTTGCTGTCAAACTAACAGAAACTCAGGGAGGTAGAAAGTTAGCAGTGAGGATGAACTGAATGACGATTATGCACCCAGACTGGCCCAGAATTACCTTTTGAACTCTTAGTCCATTCTGTCATTTAGCCTTTGCTGTGTAGAAAACCACCCCAGAATCAGGCTTAAAATAACTGATGCTTTCTCACTGTTCTGTGGATTGGCTGGGGCATTTCTCTGCAGGTTTCATCAGGGCTCCTTCTGCAGCTGCATTTGGCTGGGAGGGTCAGCTGGCCTGAAAGGACATCACTCACTCTTATGGCAGTTGGTGTCAGCTGCCTTCATGTACACTGTATGAGAACCTCCTAGATACACTGTCTGTATGCTGTTGTATATACAGTAAGCTGTATATACAGACCAGCCATGTCACGCAGCAGTCTCACAGGGCGGCTTTCCCAGAAGGCGAAGGGAGAAGCAACAGGGTCTCTTGTGGCTTGGGCTCTGGAACTCACAGTATTTTCACCACTTTACACTGTTCAAAATGAGTTTGATTCAAGGGGATGGAAAAACAGGCTCCACATCCTGATGGGAGGAACAGCAGAGTCACATCGCAGAGGAGAGGGTGTACTAGGCTGGGGGGAATGTGCAGCCATTAAACGATCAACCACATCTATGTAGGATAATCGTTGCTGCATCGCATCCTCTAGCATTTGTTTTTGCTCTATTACAGAAGGTAGGCATATGCCTTCAAGCCATAATTTTAAAGATTTTTTAATTGTGGTAAAATATAACAAAATATGCTGTTTTAACCATTTTTAAGTGTACGGTTCATTGACATTAACTACATCCAGACTGCTGCATAACCACCACTCTTCCCAAAACTTCTTTCATTCCAAACAGACACTGTAACCACTAAGCGATAACTCCCCATTTCCCTTCCTCTATCCCCTTAACTCTGATCTACTTTCTGTCTCTGTGCCTTTGTCCGTTCTAGATTCCTCGTATCTGTGGAATCACTGATAATCAGTCCTTTGGGGACTGGCTTATTTCACTTAGCATAATGTTTTCAAGGTCCATTCGTGTTGTAACATGTATCACAGCTTCATTTCACTTTATGGCTGACTGATAGTCCACAGTGTGTATATACCACTTCTGCTTATCCACCAATGGACCCTTGGTCTACAGATGGACACTTGAGTTATTTCCACTTTTGGCTATTGTGAATAATGCTACAATGAACACAGGTGTACAAATAATCTGTTCAAGTCCCTGTTTTCAGTTCTTTTGGGCATATACTTAGTAGAATTGCTGGGTTAGATGGTAATCCGTGTTCAGCTTTTTGAGGAACTTTGCTTTTTTTTTTTTTAAACTAAGTGCCAAGTGTCTCACCCAGGCACACTTTGGAGACACCATCCATTCCTATTTTCAGTGTTGTGCTGGAGCTGGCTGTTCAGGAACTGAGTTGGGCTCTTGGATACAAAGATGGGTCAGACCATCTCAGTGCCCATGTGGGCAGGTGGGCAGGGTGAGCAGATACCTATGCAGCTGAGTAGTAGCTGTAACACTTTTGTTTTGTACTTTGGGCTCCTTTTGGTAGTGTGGTCAAGATGACAGAAGCAGCGTCTGGTTGTCCCCAGAGTATTTTCACAGAAAAATCATGGCCTAATTAAGCTACTTAAAATCCTGCCCGGCTCCTTCAATATGGTTGTGCTTTGTGCAAACTCAAACTGGTCAAAAAACTCAAAGCCTTTGGCCTGCTGCTGCTGGGAGCAGCAGTTCAGGAGAAAAAAACCTGTATTATATATATATCTATAAACCTGTTGTGTTTCAGGATGGTGTCTTCTTGGGGGCTCAGTACACAACTGCATTTGGTCTCTTTAAAGACATTGATTCTGGGACTTCTGGCAGCCAAGATTCCTTTCCCCAACCTCTCAATATTGATGATTCTACATCTGCCTTTTGGTTTTCAGCCACTTCTGTGATCTGGTTTCAGGTAATTGAGGGTTTTCTGAGCAAAGAAGTAAGTTACATAGTGTCTGGCCGCAGGGAGGCAAAGGCAGAGAGCAGCGGGACAAGCCACAGAGGCTGCTCCAGCCCCAGCGAGGCCAGAGTGGAAACGCCGTCCACGGCCGATCCAAAAGGCGACCATCCCAGGCCTTCACAGAAACCCGCAGCCTTGGTAAGAACCTCGTAGGGTAGGAAAGGTATGTTCTGTAAGCAAAGGAAGGCCAGCTCAGTGAGTCCTTCAAAGCAGTCTGTAGTTTTAGGTGCTTCCGGTTTAATTTAATCTCTCATTTGAATTCATGGGCTGGAACTATTTTATCATAGCTCTCGACCTGACACCTCAACAACGTGTTACTCCATGCTATCCCCTCTGTGATGTGTGTTCACTCTTTGTGGGACTTCAGAGGCAGAGGCCCAGAAACAATAGCCCTCCTCTGTGAACCAGATAGGCCTTGCTGGAAGTGGCCTGACTGAGCATAGCCGCGGGAAAGTGCAGTGACTCTTGAAGAGAGGTCTTGGGACATTTGTAACACTTTGGCTTCAGGTGCACTCAGAATGCCCTTTTCTCCAGGGTGCAGGCTGCAGCTACCTGTGGGCAACCTGGACTTGGGTGTGGCTGTACCTTTACCTCCAAAAGGTGCCCTATACCCTCATTTCTGCCACTCCTTAGCTGTCACTGCTCCCAGCTTTGCAAGAAATGACTTCAAGACCCACCCTCCAGTTCCTGTGTAAGCATCTGTTTGTGCACAGGTGGGCTATGCCGCATACCTCATCACTCTTTTCTTCCTGGCAGGTGCTCATGAGCAGAGGGAAGGAGCTGCTGCAGAAGGCCATCGGGAACCAGGTGAGCTGAGGGCGATGGGCCGGGGGCGGATACCTGGCACACAGAGCGGTTGAGCCTTGCATCTCAGGTTCTTCTGAAGTACCGAAACAAAATGCACAAAAGGGGTACTGTCATTATCTCCTTAAAAAGGAGGGAGTGAAGCTCAGAGAAGTTAAGTAATTTGTCCAGTCAGCCAGGGTGTCAGTGGTAGAGCCAGAATTTGATTCCTTGATCTTTCCAACTCTAGAGCCTACTAAGAACCTTGGGATATTATGGGACATAGCTGCCCTGCACATAAGCCAGACTTAGTACATCATTTCTTAGATATGGGATAAAAGTAGCTGCTTATCCCTTTTGTGAGAATCCAGGGCCATTAAAAGTGAAGTGGTGGGAGGAGGAGTTAATCTGATCTTGTGAGAGGAGTCACTGAAGTGTTATCAAGATGGACGCATTGGCTGTGATGAGGGAGGGGCTGTTGACAGGCGCAAGCAGTGAGGTGGAAACATCAGCAGCTAGCATGGTTTCCTGCTTCATCGTGGTCACTGGTGTTTATTGTGGGCTTAACTGTGTGTGCTGAGAGCTTTCCCCACAGACACCCTCCCAACAGATAGCTGTGTTCCTTCCTGGTCACAGAGCAGATAGGCAGATGAGCAGCCAGCCCCTAAGGAGAACAGGGTCTTCCCAGGGGGTTAGGGTAGACTCCCCACAACATCCCTCCATGTGAATGACCCAGGGCTCCCCAAAGCCAGAACAGCCTGTCCCTGTAGTGTTCAGGCCTTGGGGAGACTCTGGTCCTGTCTGAACTCTGCCTCATCTTTCCAGGGGAGCGGCGGCAGCGGGAGCGGGAGCAGCAGCCTCCTGACCAGTGCCCGCTCCTGGGGAGTCAGGGTTCTGCATGTGGACGGTACTGTTGTCACCTGGGGCTCCGGTGGAGGGGAGAGTTGGTGGCAGACCAGAACACCTGCTGGTAGAGGGACCAGGTCCTGTGAGCTAGTTGGCAGCCAGGTGGACTCAGTTACCATGTTGATCCTCGACAGTGGGGAGGGTGTGGCAACCAGCAGACATGGTTAGCAGAGGGCAGACTGGAAAGTGCTGTTTTGTTTAACCTGCACACCACTCTCCTCAAGCTGGTAGGATGATCATGTTCCACAAATAAGGCAGCAACCCTAATATCCATAACCACTTAGCAGCTATTTCCTCTGTGCTAAGGATTACCTCATCCTCACTGCAGTCGTCTGCCCATTGTAGAGATGAAAAAGTTAAGCCTCAGGGGGATTAAGTAGATTATCCAGTCTCTCCAGGAACAAGTAATGTGGCCCACATTCCAACCTAGTTTGACCCAGCTGAAATTCATGGTCTCTCTTTCCTATAGGGTTGCCTTACACTATAACCTGCTGTCTGCAGGGTGTGATAAATTTACCCTAGATCAGCCGTCCTGATTTGGCTGGCAGTGACTGGCCTGCTTTGAGTCTGCAGTTTCGCTAATCCACTGTGGGAGTCTGAGGTCTGCTGACTGGTCAGAGAATTGTGCTCCAGAAGGTCATTGTCGGGATGTAGGGCTCCATCACTACTGGAAAATCAGTCGTTTCTGACTTGATCTCATCTCCTGCCTTCTGGTGTGTTAGGGAAGCTCCTGCTGGGTCTTCCCTCTCAGGCCACATCTGAGTAGCTCAGATGGCTTGTCTTTCCATGGAAGCAGCTCCTCAGTCGTACCATAAAGCCCTGTGAGCCAGAAGGCACCTCCTTGTAATTGGTGTTGCAAAAGAGCCTGAAGCAAGCTTAGGTACTTTTCCAGGGATAGAAGACCCAGCCCTTTATCATCAGCAGGGGCAGAGGTGACACAGAGCCAGAAGGTGGCAAGCAAGGCCGGTGTGATCCAGTGGGCCAGGTGGGCCGAGAAGTTTGGTCCCCAGCCCCAGGAAGGAGCTGTGCTGGGGAGACGAGTGGAGGAAGCCTTTCGCCGCAGCCCTCTCTTTCCTCCACAGAAATGATGGTGCATGTGCAACAGCTATCTCTTGATGCTTTATGTGTGAGGAAACAAGGGTCGAAGAAGCCAGAGGTAGGTCCTGCTGGCCCAAAGGGAAATGGTTGGTAAACTGGGGTCCATGACAACTTTGGTGAGTCCAGGACCCAGCTAAGCCATCTCTTTCTGGCCTTCCTTGAAAAAGTAGGAGGGTGCGGCCTCTTGGTTAGCTCATCCCTGGCAGCCACAGCTGCATTGCCTGTCTTCCGTATTCCCTGGGCTACCTGCAAATCTCCCATGGTGCATGAGGCCTTCACTGCAGCCTAGGCTGTGGACTGCCTGTATGTGGTTCTGGCCTACATAAAACATAAATGCTCATGGCCTATGGGCCAGGCTGCCATTCTGGGGACAGCTCTGGGCCTGGGAATGATCCTGCAGATCACATGAGTAAGGATGGGGGTGTCATGGTTTGAAATAGCTATCATCTTTCTAACTCTTGTTTGGCTTTTACTTCCTTTGCTGGAGTTAAGAGCTGTGTTACCACATGTGAAGAGAGTCCAGGCTGATTCAAACCCATGGTGTCTCCATACGCCTGAGTCTGAGGCAGGATTAAGCCGGACAGGTCCACCCAGGGGCCTGGCACCCAGGAGCAGGAGCTGCATCCACACCAGATGGCTTCAGGCCCTCGGTCCACACCCTGGGAATCTCGGGGGTTTTGCTGATGCTGCTAAATATTTGTACTGTTCACAACTGAGCAGGGCAAACAGTGAGTCTCTCCCTGCAACTTCAGTCCCTGAGCCACCAAACTCCTCCTGAGATAATGTGAGCAGTTGCTCAGGTATCTTTCCAGGACCTGTGCACATATGAGGAGTTATGTCAAAAAAACTTCCCTTCTGTGCAAAGGCACAGTATTTTTACTTTGCTTTGTCCATTTAATAATCTATTTTTCAGATTTTGGGAGTCCTTCGGAGTGACTTCTGGGTGCATTCTGCTGATATGCAAGGGGGTATGGAAAGTTTCTTTGGGTTATGTTTGCCCTGGAGGAGACTGAACCCCCTTGGACCCAGAGGCCCAGGGAGTCATGGACCCACTGACTCTCTCATTCCCCCACCCTGAACTCTTGATTTCTTCATGTATTCTATTTGGTTTTTAATACTAGCTTTGTGTGACCTTGGCCTAAACACTGGTTTTGACCAACAGAGTCAGAGTATGCAAGACAAGAAAGCAAAAGGCATCATCTTCACCTGTCTTGTAAGCTGACCTGGAGGGCAGCAGTGCCTAAAAAATGCAAATTGCCATTTAGTGAGCACCTGCCCTGTGTCAGGCCCGGTACCTTCTTTGATTTCATTTGGGCCCCATCTGGTGGGCCATCACATCCCGGCTCCATCCCACCTGGGCCTGTGGGGCTCCGCAGCCCTTGCTCATTGCTCAGTCCTGCATTCCTTCTTCACGGTCATCTGTCAGTGAGCTTCACACAGTGCTGACCCCTCATCGTGTCCCTGGGGAGGCAGAGGGAGCCGCTGTGCTTGCCTGTGCTCTGGCTCAGGCCCTAGCCGACAGCAGGAAGTAAAGTGGGGCAGACACGCAGCGACCAGCAACTCAGCTCTCCAGGCCTGGTTCCTCGGCCCTCTGGCTCCCTCACATCCTTAACCTATTTTCCTCTTCCATTCAGGGAATATGTCCAGCAGAGTCAAGAACACGGAAAGGTCAGTGTGGTAGCTTTTCCTTATCTGCTTGCAATCCCTCCCTCCCTAAATGCCTCTCCACGACTCCCTCTGTGGCAGCATCTGCTCCATTTTCTGAGGCAGGAAGCAAGTCCAGGTTGTGTTGCCCCATTGTGTTTCCAGGGCCTGAGCTTCAGAAAGGAGAGCGGTGGGAGTGGACCATCAAAGAGCAAGTCTAGCTGCCGGGCTGGGGCCTCTCTTTAGAGCCAAGGCCCCATGCAGTCACTCTGGCTCCTGTGTCCTCTGGCTGTTCCTGGGGATTGAAGTTCAGCATTCTTTTCCTCCTGATTCAGGAGCAGTGTGTGGTGGGCAGTTTGACAGCTGCCTACCTCTTTTGGAAATGCCACACTACTGAAATTGACAAACAGGCAGATTGACAGGCCGTTTCCCAGCTCCTCTTAGACAGCCGGAGAGTTTCTCCCCTGTGTGTTCCAAAGATGCTCTTTAAGTGGCATTTATTCGTGCACAAGCAGGAGCTAAGAAAAGTCACTTGGCACCTCTCATGTTCAAAATTGAAGGAAATCTGTGGGGGAATTGATTTTAATCACTGTCTCAGTTAATTAGAAAGACGAATCTCCCCCAAATAGTAATTAATGGGAGCTGCTGCCACAGGAAGAGGAAAGCTGCTTTTTGCTTGGGTGCTGGTGGCAGCCTCTCGGGGGTCGGTGGCTGGGCTCTGCCTGGGCTTCCAGCCTGTCCCAGCTGCCACTTCGGCGGGACTTCTGGTCACCGTGGGAAGCTAGAAGTGGTTCTTTTAAGAGATTTTATAAACTATGCAAGTAACTAGCTAGTGAAGGATGAATCTCTTCTTGATTAATGGACTCCAAATATGTCTTCCCCACACCCTTTGCCCTATTTTTTCAGGAACCAGATTTCACATTTAATTTTTTTTTGCCTTCTTTCTGCTAACATCCTCTTTAGCTCTCTTCCACTTGCTCCCCCCACAAAATACTCAGGGTCTTCATGAAGAGTTCTGCCAGGGAGTGTTCTCAGGCCCCGGGATTCTGACACACCAGGAGTAAAGGTCTGGGAGGGATCTGAGGCTTTTAGCAGAGACCAGCAGAGACTGGCTTATTCCCACCCAGCCAGGTCCCTTGTGGTCAGCTCCCAGCCTCCAGAACCCACATGCAGGACAGCTCTGTGTCCTGCTGAGGGATGACACATCTAGTATCCCAGGTCGCCTGCAGCCTCTCCCCACAGTAGTGGAACTCTTCCTCCCAGGGTAGTGGCTGGAGGAGATGGGAATGGGGGCCCTGCCTCAGTCAGATGGAAAGGCACACCTTGGGGTGGCGTGGGCACCTGCTTGAGGAGGCTCTTAGGCTTTGGCAGAGCCTCGCCCATGGAGCATTTCCTGTGCGTGCTGTGCAGGCCCTGCACCAGGCAACACATGGCTAACGTGTGCACTGTTCTTTTCAGTGGCCAGACTGAAGGCACCATTCCTCAAGATCGAAGATGAGAGCAGGTATGTGGGGCCTCCTCTTCCTCCCCTCACCCCTGCCAGGCCCTCATGGAAGAGAGGTATTCAGGGGCCCCAAGCTGGCTCAGGGTCTTGGAGCCCCTCAGCCCTGCACCTTCGTCTTCCCCAGAAGCCACTTTCTCTCCCTGTCATGGCGAAGTCTCACAGAGCAGGAGCCTCTGAAGGTGGCACTGCACAGTTGGCACTCCTCTTGGTCATGAGTCAGAGGTTAGTGACCCTGTGTGTGAATTACCTCCTTTTAATGCTCTGATTTTGTGAGCTCACCATGTCCCATCCAGACTCTTATTGCTCCTCATTCCCCCCAGGCGACAGGCTTACTGTGAGGCGTTGCTGGCCCAGAGCAGTGCCAGTACTGTCATGTCAGCCAGAGTGAGGGCACCTGGGCGGTATTGGCGATGCCCTCATCAGACCACCTCGTATTGATGAAACCTTTGTTTGCTGTGCAGAACCTTTTCTGGCACGTGTTGTGTCATGACAGCCCTGGGTACAAAATAGCATGAGGAGAATCCATCCTCTTCCCAATGGGGAAACTGAGGTTAGAGCAATTAGGAGACACATACACAGCCACTGTGCTAATGAATCTCCACCAGAGGCTAGAACCCAGGTGTCCTGACTGTCCTGCCTGGTGCCTCTCCACTGCCTTGTCTGTCCACTGCCAGGGCCCTGCTTACCTAGTGTAGGAGGGTCACATGGATGATAACCTGACAAGCTGTTGGCCACTTGGGTTATCACTGCCTCTTCAGTAAGTACTAGGTCAAAAGCCTGTATGAATCTATAATTATCTCTAAGTATTCTAAAAGAGAAAAAGCCCACGTATGCTCAGCAGAGACTCCTGGAACCAGAGATTTCTGGGTCCCTTGGCCTCAGGTAGGCAACTAAGACCAGCACTGGACCGTAGCACGCCTGTCCACCTAGACAGGCCCAGGTTCCCTTCGTGGCGCCTGCACACAGCACAGAGTTGGCTTTGGTGGTCCAGGAGTGAGTGGAAAGGACACAGGGAGGGTAACGCAGTGCCCTCTCCAGTTCCGGTGGGGTGGGGTTCATGTCCCCACCAGCCACTGCCTCACTACCAGTTAAATGCAGGTAGTCATGACTCATTTATTAGTGGCCAAGAGACACTGCCAGGGCCTCACAGGCACAGGTGATGTCACTCTTCCTGGAGGGGGCATGTGTTTGTGTACTCCTGGCATCAGGCAAGAGAGGAGATGCAAATGGAGCTCAGGTTTCCTGTGATTCTTTCTAAGTGCTGTTCTGAAGCAGGTGCTCTTCCAAGCCCGACGGTCTACCATCCTCAACTTCCCAGCTTAAACAGAAGCAAAACAATATTGAGGATGAAGAAGGGTATGGGGGCTGGGGGGAGGCTACCAGGGCTGTGTAGGGCACTTCCTCCCTCAGGACCCAAAAAGACCCATTTGTTATTTACTCCTGAGGCTATAGGGCTCTCACCATGCCACCCAGGAGCCCATTGCCTGCACTCCTCTGGAGCATAGGCCATCGCAGCCAGACACAGTGTGCCTGGCAGCAGCAGGACTCACTGAGTATCCACAAATCACCAGACCTGGCTCTGAAAGTCTCTTGAATGTGGACAATGTGAGGCAAAGATCTGACAGTCTAGAGCCCTCACTATGCCTCTGTCTTTGGTTCAGAACACTACCCCTCAGATGGAACAGAGGACCAAACCAGAGCAAAAATGTTCCTCTTACGGTTTAAACGTTCTTCCATTTAGGTTCCGCCAGGCCAGAGTCCTCAGCAGTGGTTTAGGGTCAAGAAACAAAACCAAAAGGTAGATCAGGAGTCAGGAGACGTAGCTTCTGGTCTGGCCTTGGCCACTCAGGAGTTGTGAGCCCTCAAGCAAGTCAGAGGACATTTAGGCATTGTTTCCTCTTTTATAAAATGGGATAAAGCCACTTGTTCCTCTCAGCTCAGGCTGGTTACAGGATTCAGCTGAAGCACTGAGAGTAAAGAGGCTGGAAAAGTAGTGGGGGCATAGGTACTAATTTAACCTAGTGAGGATGACAAGCAGTTGGGAACCTAAGACATGCAGGTGAGTCTCCTTTATCAGGACTGGTATTCTGGGGAGTTGGGCTGGCCCCCCTCCTCCTCCTCTCTCTCCCCCACTGTAGTCAAAAGTGGGAGTTTTCTGTGTTTCAGGAAGTTTCGTCCTTTCCACCATCAGTTTAAATCCTTTCCTGAAATTAATTTTCTGGGACCCAAAGATGCAAGTCCCTTTGAGGCCCTGACGACCCCAGGCAGCTCACACCATACCAGGTGGGTTTTTCTGGCTTATGAGTACCAAGGGCTGGTTATAGGCCAAAATCCTTCCCCTCAGGGGCCTGCTGCTCAGATTTGGGACTGGCCATGTGTTAGCTCCTTAGGCAGTCTATTCTGGGAACTTAGCCCAGAGAAGAGAGACACTAGAAATGTTCATCCGTTTTATTTGGTATTACTCTCTATCCCTACTGAAGAATCTGACTTGTGTCCAGAGGGCAGTAGGCTAGTTTCTGAAACTCATATCTAGAGTCCACCCTCATCAGAGACCCCTGGGACCCCATTAAAAATGCAGGTTCCTGGACTCCACAGCTACAGAATCAAAATCTCTGATGAAGGAGCCCCAAAAGCTGCCAGCACCCTGAGTGATCCTGGAGCACATCAGAGTTTGAGTCCTTTGGGGCTAAACGCCAGGAATAGCTAAAGGGGGTCTGGGGGACCCACTGCATTATGTGGCCCAGAGTGGCTAGTCAGCTTATTGGTATTCCTACTCTGCAGATGTGTAAGAACGTGAACCCTCACTGAGCAAAGTGCAGAAGGAATGAGGCTCAGGCAGTGGACTAGATGCCTTCTCAGACCCTTTCTAACTTCTAGGCCACGTGACTGGTTTATAGACCAGGAAAGTATGACAAGGCAGACTCACAGCATGAGGTCCCAGGGCCAAGGGACGAGGCCACGGGAGCAGGACACAGTGCAAATGGAAAGGAAAACAGAAAGGGAGGGGGCCATAGGTGCAGCGGGCAGGAGGCAGAGAACGAGCTGAAGTCCCAGGGTCCTTCATACCCTTCCCAGAAGCTGCCAGGGGTACCAGAGAGGCAGCCAGGGGCGGCCCAACGTGGGGCTGGTACGTGCAAGCCTGGGATGGCCCTGGGGGTGCAGAGGAGCCAAGAGGTTATCAAGGCAAGAATATGGAGCACCTGAGGAGCATAGGGACGGGGTTGGCTCAGTGTTGTGTATACGTGTGTGTATGTGTAGAAAGTCTGTAGGAGGAAATGTTCAACTTTAAAAAATTTTTACAATTATTTTTCTTGAAAATTCAAGACTTTCAAATGAAAAGCCTGTATCCCACACCCACCCTCCAGGCTCCAGGGTGGTTCATATGTAGAGAAGAACACCGTGTGTCCTTCCCTCTTCCTGTATAAAAAGCAGCTTATAATACTTGCTGTGCTGGATCGTGCTTTACCCACTAAATCTATTTTAGATTAATTTCCTATTGGCACCTAGAAAACATCCTCATTCCTTTGTATGGCTGTGGGGCGTTCCATTGTACAGGCTTATTGTACGTTATTTAACTGGTCTAACTAATAGGTGCTTAGATTATCTCTAGTTGTTTGTTATTATAAACCATGCTGCAGTGAACAGTCTCACTCAGAGTGAATTTACAATTGCTCAAATATATTTGTGGAATTAATTTGTAAAAAGTGAAAATATGCAGGGTCAAAGGGTTCCTGCATTTACAAAGTTGATAAACATGGCCAAATTGCTTTTCATGGAGGTGATTCCACTGTACAGTCCCTCTGCCCTGGACAGGAGCCTGTCTCCTCATCCCCATGCTAACACTGCAAGATGACTTACTGACCTCCATCAATCTGAGAGATTAAAAACTCTATCTTAATGTAATTTTTTGACTTTCTTTTTTTTTCTGTTGTGCATGAAGTCAAGTATGTTTGTGTACATCTGAGTATTAGAATCCCATGTGTGAACTTTCTTTATATCCTTTGCCCTTTTTTTCAATTATTGATGTGAAGCAGCTGTTTGTGTATTAGCAAATGAGCCCTTTGTGTCATAAATATTTTCCCATCCCCCAGTTCGTAGCTTATCTTTTAATTTTGCTTATGTTCTTTGCCATGCATACATTTTTCAAAATTGCATGTAGTTGAATTTATCAGCTTTTTTTCCCTATTTTCTGGGTTTTGTATCATACTTAGGAAGTCCTGAATGGGGAATATTTCTGACTTGTTGAGTTGGACAGCAAAATAGCAGTGCCCTAAAGGCCATTAGAAATATGAGACTAAAATTCAGGTAAGAAGTCAAGTTTGACAAAGAGATTTGAAGTATTCAGGGAAGGTGGCAGCTGTGTAAGGAACAGCTCAGCATAAGGGAGAAGACAGACTGAACCAGGGCAAGGTGACATTCCCTGGAGAGGAGGGCGAGGGCAGTGCTGTCCCCAGCTGCTGCTGAGGTCTCTGCCTGTTTATCTTGCAGGTCAGATGAACGTGGGCTTGGGTGTGAGCACAGAGCTGCATTGTCCCAAGAGGGGTTCTTGCTGCCGCCATTACTCGTCCTCACCTGTGGTTTGAGATGTGTGGGCAGGGAAGGACAGAGCCAGTGCCTCTCCTAGATAGGCAGTGCCAAGCACAGCAGCCTGTGGGCCTGCCCGGCTCCAGGGCGGTTTCAGTCCTCCCCCCCTCCAAGGGCCCCAGCAGCGACCTCTCTCTCCCACACCCTGTTCCCTCCCCAGAGAACCCAAGAACCGGGAGCCCAGCCCTGGATCGGCTGCCCGTGCCACGCCCAGGAGGAGGAAGGGTTACTGCGAGTGCTGCCAGGAGGCCTTTGGGGAGCTGTGTGGGGTGAGCCCCTCCCTGCTGAGCCGCTGCTCTGACAGAGCCCCCACCCGGCTCTCCCGCTTGCATCCCACCCTGGCCTTGTCTAATGTGCCTTGTGCTTCCTTTCATCCTGGGCAGCATCTCCAGAGTGCCCGGCACCAGGGCTTTGCCCTAGAAGGCCATCTATATGCGGAAGTCGATCGGATCATCGCCCAGCTCAGCCACAGTTTGGCAAACATTCCCTCCCAGGCCAGCCTCCCTGGGTGAGTCTCCAGCCGGGTCTCCCTCTTCTGCTCTCTGGGTGGGAGGGAGCCTTCCAGCAAGAAACAGCCTGTGGCGTTTTGTCTTTCTCACCATCCTCTGTCCTGTTTATATTGGGAGGGCGGGGACAAATATCCTCTTGTGACTGTCGGGATTGGGCACGGCCCAGAGTGGGACCCTGGTGGTTGGGGTGGTGGGGAGAGCACTTCAGTTGCTGCTGGTAGTGATGTACCTCTCTGGCCTTCTCAAGGTGGGGAGGCAGATTCCCGGTCCTTCCCAGACAGGCGAACAGCAAAGTCTTTCTGCTTCTCTAGAAAAGATTTTAGGGCGTTCAGTGGGATCCCAGGACCCTCTGTGCCCAGCCTCCCCCTGCTCACCATATTGCTGTGGCTCCCCAACTCAAGTCTCCACTGTGGGCACAGCTTGGACAGCCAGGCTGTATGCTGTTTTCTATATCTGCCTAAACGCACAGCCTCCTCTATGAAGTTATTAAATGGAACAGCCTCTAACCTGTTCTCTAGCCAACCCCAACCATAGGCTGTAGAGCAGAGAGAGGCACAAACGGCACTGCAGGGTCACCCCAAAAAGCAGGCCTCTCACAGGCCCCAGAGGAGGCAGCATGCCATGTCCCAGAAGGGTCGTGTACCCCATCCCATCTTCCCCTTAAACCTCCTTCTGGGAGGCTCCCAACTTGCTGCCTTTTCTGGAGTTGAGCTGCGTGGATGTTTCTGTCCCCACAGGCAGCCAGGCTCCCCAGTTTCAGATTGTAACCCTCGGTGTCCTGAGACTCCACCTGCCAGCCAGCCCTCCCATTGCAGGGCAGCATCACCCAGGATGAGGGAAGAAGATGACCACCGGGCCCCAGGCACCCCAGGACTGGATGGGATGGCGGGTGACATGAAGGCATCAGCAGAACCTGTGGGAGCTGGCAAGACACCTGGACCAGAAACAAGCTGCCAGGAGGTGGGGGGGTCAGTTGATGTCACTGTGGACCCCCCAGGGACACCAGTGTCCAGGAGCCCTGCTTACCAGTGCCTCCTGACCAGCTCTGGTTTTGCAGATCCTGTCTCTGGTACGGACCTGGCACTTGTTGGCCATAAGAGGAAGGTTCAGTTCCCTAGTAGCAGTGCTGAAAAGAGGCCAGGGGTGTCCTGGCCAGAGGCCTCCTTCTTTGTCCCAAGAGCCTCCAGCCTCTGTGGCACCAGGACAACCAGTGACAGGCATTGCCTCTCCTTTCCCCTTCCAAGCCATGTATCCAGGCCTCAGGCCTTGTGCCACCCACAGACCTGCATCTCCCTCCCAGACCCCTGCTCCTGGCAGCCCGCAGGCAGACCAGCAGAGTTCTGGGCCACACAGCCCCCGTGGCTTGGGGGAGGATGGCCCCCAGGATGTGAGGATTCTGAGTATGCAGCCCCTGGGCCTGTCTCCCGTCTGGCTGACCAGCTCTCCAGCTGCCCCACAGCTCCAGGCCAGCTGTCAGCCCACCTGCACTCGGCTGTGGGCATGCAGCCCCCAGGAAGCCCTGCAGAGAGCCCCTCCACCTCTCTCCCTGACCCTTTGCCAGCCAGTGGGGGAGCCAGCTGCTCCCAATGGCTCTGGGCCCCCCAGCCTCTCCCAGTTCCCTGCCTCCCTGTCTCCCAGCCCCAGCCGCAGCCCCAGCCCAGCGCCAGCTGAGAACTGCTCCTGTGAGTCCCCCTGGGGTACACAGCAGCTCTGAACTCAAGGGCCAGATACAGACACAAGTTACACTCATGCAGGGTGCTGCCCACCTGGCCAGGGCCGACCAGCCACAAGAGCAGCAGCACTGCAGGCCCCCCCAAAGGAGCCAGAAGGAGTACCAGACCTGGCGCTCGGAGGCCAAACGAACAGTTGTGGTCAAGCTCTGTGGGGCCAAAAGATCCAGGCCTCCCACCTGCCGGGACTTGGGGCAGGGCCAGGAGAGTCTGGGCTGGGGGGCTGCCCTCTCCACCTCTACCTCCAACCATAGTCCTGACCAGGTGGCAATCCAGGATGGGTTGTTCAGCCATGCCAGCTGCCCGTGCCAGGAGGCCGAGACAGGGTTGGCATAGGGAGGGACCACAAAGAAGCTGGAGCAGCAGGAGCCCTGGCCTGGCTTCATGTTCCTCTGCAGGCACTTGCCAGAGGCAAGAGGGCTCATTGCTGGTATTCCCCACCCCCCACCGCAGCCTCCCTTCCTGCAAGCATGTGGCTCTCCTGCCTTCTGAAATGCCTGTTGTGTCCCCTCCCCCAGCCCCCCACGCGCGTGCACACAGATCCTCAGGAACATATGAAGCAGAGGAGGGGCTGGTTTATAGCAATTAGACAACTTCTTCCCCAGGCCCTTAGTGGGGGCCCAGCACTGCCTTTTGCCCTGGGCCCAAGACAAAGCTAGAGCCCCCCTCTGGGGACTCTTACCGGTTCTACCCTGCCTCCACCTTGGCTGCCCACCTAGAGTTACTAGTCCCAGGGTCAGTGGCTCACCTGCCAACTTCTGCATCACCCTCCTCCCTCCTTCCCCAAGGACCTCCCCCACTTTTATTTCAGCCAAGCCACTAATCTCAAGACGGAGATGGGTTTGTTATTGATTCTTGAACCACTTTCTTTTTATTATATTTTGTGCTGTGGTTCTTCTCACCTTTCTCTGCCTCTGTGTTTGTTTCTTTAAATGTTGAAGCTACCAGGAGCCTGGTGCTATTCTGTGTCTCATTTTGGAGGAAGAAAGGGGGGCCTAGCTGTGGGCGAGGACCTGAGTTGTTAGCTTGGAAATGGAGCAACTGTGCAACCCTCATAGAGGTCATGTTTAGCCTTTTATGCCATTCCTATTAAATTTCACAATTATCTTGGTTCAAGAACTGTAAACAAATTAATAACAAATAGCAAAGAGAAGGGGCTGGAGTGCAGTATGTCAGGCCTTGATCTGCCCCCAGTGACCCAAGCAGGGCTGAGGGACCCTCAGAAGTGGACGAGATAACTGGATGGTGGGACGGGAGCCGCCTCCAAGTGGGAGCACGTGGGAGCACCACCACCTCCAGCGGCCTAGCTCTGAGGGCTGGGAGGAGGGGCTGCACCTGTCCAGGCCCCTCAGGGCACTCCCCTCTGCTGCCTGCTGTGCACTCTGAGAAACTCCTTTGCCCTGATGAGCTTTTCTGCTGGGGGCCCTCTCCTGGGGACCCAGACAATGCTGTGACTCTGTCACGGGTGCCTCCTTTCCCACTGGATGAGGAGCTTCCCTGCCCACCTTTCTCAGACCCCTGATGGCCTCATGGGCTACTCACCAAAGCCTGAGGCACCAGGTTCTGACGCCCTCATCGCCGTCTGACCAGGACTTCATGTCTGACTGTGGTCTGCCTCTCCCGCCCCCACCAACAGTGGTGACCTTGGGTGTCACATCTTGGCCAGGACATCACCTCTACAGCCAGGCTCTGTTCCAACCCCCAGGATATAAATGAGAAGTGAACCCAGGCCACCTGAGCCCTATTTGACATGAATTAAGCCCCTCAATGGCTCCTTCCACTTGCTTCCTCAGCAAAGAAAGCCGTGTGCATTCTCCCCAAGTCACACTGTCCTGGGCGCTCTGGCCAACCCTAGCCAGCCTTGTCCGTTTCTAATTCGCCACCTCTCCCTCCCTCTGCCTGAAAACTGGAAAACCCTTGGCTCTGTTCAGCAGCTCGAAGCAGCATTCCTACTGCCTCCGGCTCCTGCCTGCGGTCTGCAGCCGCCAGACCGCTGCCTCCCTGTCTGCATCTCCTTGCCCTTCCAAGCAGCAGTGGCTCGGCCTGAACCACTCCACGGGTTGTCTGTTCCAAGGTTACTGGGGAGCTAGCTGGTAATTACCAAGAGCAGGTTCCTTTTCTTTTTCCACCTTCTTGAAACCGGGCTCCCCTGCTCCCAGTGACCCCCACATTAGACCACTTCCCTCCCTCCTCCACCACACGTACTTACTCAGCAAGCCCTCTCTCTGCCCTCAGATGGCTCCTAGAACCCTAACTAGCCCTCCAGGCCTCCCTGCTCCCCCAGATGTGGGCCTAGGACTTTTGTCCTCTCCTCTGTGCCCTGGTTCATTCACCTCTGCACAGGTGACCTAAATTGGTAGCTCCAACCCTGGATCCCTTCTGAATTCTAATCTTCACCTGTGCTAGGTGGGAAGGCGGGAGGTCCAGCAGTACCTCCAACCCTGTGTGACTTTAAGCGAGTCCCTCTTCTGCACTGGTACTGCACTAGGCCTCTGCTTCCTCATCTCCAAGTAAGATGAGTGGATGAGATGACTTCAAGGGTGCTTCCTTCCCACAATAAATACCGTGCCCACCAATAACCCCTTGCATCCCTTCTGTCCTGCCACCACCGCCTCAGATCACCTTCCCTAGGAGCCCATCTGTCTGTCTGAGGCTGGCTCCCCCTTTCCACCTAGCCATAACTGCTGCCTCTCAGTCACCCCAACCAGTCTCAGGTCACCCTCCCTGCTGGCCATCCTCCCCTTACAGCCACCCCACCTCCCTCGCCCCACCCCCACCTCCAGCTCAATCCAGCCAGATTGATCCTGGATTACCCCTCACTGACAGCAAGAATGCCTCATGTTCTCCATGAACCCTGTAGTGTAAGCCTTCAGGCCACACAGGCCTGAGTTCAAATCTGATCCTACCGCTAACTCTGTGACCTTTGGCAAACACCTAAAACTGTTTTCATAATCTGGAAAATGGAGGTAATTCTAGTTGTCACCTCACTAGGAAGTTGCAATAACTGAATTAGATACATTGGTAGGTGCTTGACACAGAACTTGGTGCTTTATAAACGCTCAGCTGACTTGATCACCCCACCATACACACCCTTGACCTGCCTCCTGACACTTCAATAGAGCTCATTTTCACTAACCTCCCACCTCAGCAGGCACCCCTTTACTGCATCCCCATCTCCAGTGTAAATTTGTGGATGAAGCTGTGAAGAGGCTCTGTGAGACAACCCCCTGCTTTCCAACAACTGGTTCCCCCAGAACTCCAGGAGCCCTTTCACAGAAGAAAAAGTCCAGTGGGGTGGGTGTTGCACCCCCCTGAATAGCATATTGGGCCCTGGGGGGTAAGGCTAGATCTGTGCCCTATAAAATTCCAACTCCTCCCTAAGGGGAGGCCTCCAAACTTCAGAGATTGAAGAAGGGGTTACTTGGACAATGAAGACAGAGGAGCACAAGGCTTCCCACAGAGGGCTATTCAGATGGTCTGAGTGGTCCTCTCTGGTGGAACAGACAGAGCGCTGGGCTAGAATCAGGGAGGAAGCAGAAAGAACTTCCTGTGCAATGCTGTGGGCATTTCCACGCTCCCCACCCTTCAACACCAGATGACACACACAGTCTCCATGTGCTGGGCAGTGGGGAGGCGGGGGGCAGCTATAAATGAGTCCCTTGGTTATTAGACGAGGTCCAGGAAGCTGGTTTTCTCAGCACCTTAAGGATTGCAGTGCGAGCCCAGGTTGAGTGAGCCCCCTCTGTGCACCAGGCACTGCCCTGAGCGCTGGAGGCTCGCCTGCCCATTTATCCCCCAGCAGCACTGTGAGGGTGGGCTTTTCTAACCACCTTTTCACAGATGATGAGGCAATGGGCTCAGAGGGGCTGGGGACTTGCTCATGGTCACACAGCAATGAAACAGGGTTGGGACCCCTGAGTCCTGCTCTTACCCATCACACTACCCTTCTTGCCTGGTGTGGTCTCTGCTGCAGGCCTCGCAGACTGGGCACAGGGCCTGAACGGCATCTGTTGGCAGGGATCCTCACCCATTATGCCACCCCAGGGCTGAAGGCAGCCAACACCCCTCCCTTACCTGCAGCTGCTGTCACTAGGTCTTGGCCCCATCAACCCAGCTTGGACCCTATGCTGGAAAATTTGAGGGAAGAGCTGGCTGAAGGGCAGCAAGGACTGTGGGAGGAGGGGGCCCCAAACCTCCTGAGGGGGGCTCCCAAGGGGGAGGCTAGAGGTGGGGGCCAGAGCCTAACAGTTCTCTCAGCAGGAGTGACCCAGAGGGTGGCATCAAGACGACACAGAGCCTCCGGTTTGAGGAGAGCCTGTCTCCACAGCTCCAGACCTCAGGTGAGGGAGACTGAAGCAAGCTTCCTGCATGGAAAAGGCACACACTTGCAGCCAAGCTGACACAGAGGACAAGATGCAGAGGCGGCCCTCAGACTGGGCAGTGGAGTGTGGTCAGGGAGAGTCCCGCTGTCCAGCTGGGCCTGCTTGAGCGGAGGAACGCAGGGAAATAAGGGACTGCTTGGGGCTGAGGGGCCATACGATTGAGCCCCAACTGGAGCTGGCCCAGGTTGCCACCAGAGAGGAGTCACTCCAGAGGTGAGGAACGTCTTCCCAACAGGAGGCCCAAGGAGCCAGGCTCACAGAAGTGATAGGAACATGCCTCGGCCGAGGAGGCCCAGACTACAGACTGTGCTTGCCATGTGGTCTTGGGCGTGCTGGGGGCAAGGATCCAGACTGCCCCAGGCCCAGGGCCCTCCACTGTGAAATAACAAACCCTACCTACCCTTTTGGGAGGCACCCTGGATTAGGGCTCACTAATGTGGCCCTGGAACATGGCGCTGGTGGACAGGACAGACTTACCCTGATGGTGCGGGGGTGCCCCACACAAAGCTGGAGGGTGAGAGAGAGGGACCAGAAGGACCAGTCCCCTCTAGGTCTCAGATGGAAGGCAAAGGGGGCAATAGAGGGGCCAGAGAATAGTGGGGCCTTGGAGTTTGGGGTGCACCTCCCACTGACCAAATATGTGACATTGGGAAGCATATGCAGCCTCTTGGAGCCTCCGTTTCCCCACCTCTGAAATGAGGAGTGCAATCTCCCCTTGGGTAATTGTGGGTTTCCAGGGAATGTCCTATAGTAGGTCATCATTCCCAGGAGCCCCTTCACCTTACACCTTGGAAAAGGTTTCCAAGATGTCTCCAGAGTGAAGGAGCAATTGGCTCAGCTTACTGAGCATCTGGGTCTAGGGCGGCAGGTGGCTGGGGTTCAGGGTTGGGGGAGGAGTCACCCATGCCCAGCATTGATGTCAACGCCTCCCGGGAAATCGCCTTCTCACCTCTCCTGGACCCAAAATAGAGCTGAGTGGTGCTGTCACGAGCCAGAGGCAGCTTCCTCATCCCCGGCAGAAGTCCTGGGTCGCTGAGGAAACACAGGACCCTGGAAGGGGTTTCCTGCCTCCATTCCTGCTCCTCAGTGACCTGTAGCTTCCCAGTGTGGGTGCAAGGATGCTCTGGCCTTATCACCCACCCCCACCCATCTCAGGTCTCTGGCTCTTGGGATCCCTAGTACAGATCAGAGATCCCAGATCCTAGTAGGGACCCATCTTGCCCGGGAGCCCAGGAGCTGGGCTTAGGGGGGGCACAAATGGAGAAAGAGGTGGGGAGGTCATGTGGTTTGCAGAAGACAGGCAACCTAGTCTGGCCAGAGAGGGGAAACAGGGGGCTCCAGAGATGTCTTCTGCCCCTCAACTTAGGCTGGCAAGGGATTGGCAGGAATGGGGCCAATGTAAATGACCTGGCTAGTTTATGTTACATTTAGAGGGAAGGATTGGGGTGCCCTGTGTGGACTCAGAAGCCCAAAGGGAGTGGACCAACCCCTTCTGGTGGCTCAGGTGACAGCAATCCCTGAAGCCCTCGTAGAGACAGAGGTATGGTTGGACGGGAGAAGAGGGAACCTGCTTGATGGAAGGGGGTCTGTACCCAGGACTCCAGCAGTGAACTCCTCCACCGCGGGTTGGTCAGAGATCCCAGGGGCGCGGAGCGGGCCATTAGCCAAACCAACCTCTGTCCTCCGTCCAGGCCCTGTCCCCCTAACTTCCCAACTCCGACAGCCTTCAGTCGACCCGGCGCACGGGCCAGGTCCAGAGAAGGACCCTCTTGGGTACCACGCCGCGGCGGGGAACCCAAGCTGGGCAGCCACGCCCCCGCACCTCAGTCGCTCTGGTTCCCAGACAGGCGTCACCGGGTCAGAGCCCAGGGGTTCTGCTGTACCCTGTCTTCTCCCTCCAAATCTGCGGATCCTCAGAGCTCCCCGAGCGAGGGGTGGCTGAGAAGGGGGCCGCGGGACAGGCATGGGGCGCCCAGCCCCGCACCTGCGAAGGGGACCGAGGAGCTGCGAGAAGGCCGGTCCCGGGCGGCGCCTCTTTTGTCCTCCCGTCGCGGTGGCCCCAGCTCTGCCCGGCTTGGGGGGGGCTGCGGGGGTCAGGGGCGGGCCCTGGTCTCACGTGCTCGCCGTCCGCCTCTTAACCCGGCCCGCCGCCCCGCCGGGATGGCCGTGGCCGGAGAGCGCTGAGCCGGGAGCCCACCCCGCCGCCGCCAGCGCGCGCCCCCCCACCCCCGCGGCTCCCGCAGCCGCGCCGCCCGCCCCCGCCCCTCCCCGCGCGGCGCCGCGCCGCTCGCAGCCGCAGCCCCCGGACCCGGAGGATTATGAGCGAACCATGAGGCGGCTGCGGCGCTGGGCGTTCGCGGCGCTCCTGCTGCAGCTGCTCCCCCAGCCCGGTGAGTGACCCCCGTTCCGCCCGGCGCCCCCTCCCTGCCCCCGCCCCGCGTTTTGCGGAGGTTTCCGCTGCAGCCACATTTTCCTGCAGTGCTAGGGGTGACAGGCGGTCCAGAGCGCGGGAGGGTGGGGAGCGAGAGAGGACGGAGGTGCACCCACCTGTCCCCATCTGGCCCGCCCCACCACGGCCACCCCCTGCTGCTGGCCGGCGGACTCCGCAGGTCTCTGCGGGTTTGGCGGGGCAGTCGTGACGGTCGGCCAGTGAAGCTCCTGACGCCCTCCCCATCTAGCTCTTCCTCTGCAGGGCATCAGATCCTCCCACCCAAGTCCCCCCAGGGCTCCAAGGGCCACACCAGAGTGGGGGATGGGGCGTGCCCACCCACTCCCAAATCTCCTGCCCCTCGGTGGGCAACTGCTTGCAGCTATGGCCTTGTCTCCGTAGGTCTTGGGACCCGGGGTCCTGCCGAAGCTCTGCACTGGCGAGTTTCACCCCAGTTTGGGGGCCCGCGAGCCCCTGAAGTCACAGAGCCCAGCCGTCTGGTGGTGGAGAGCTCCGGGGGAGAGGTCCGAAAGCAGCAGTTGGACACCAGGGTCCGCCAGGAGCCCCCTGGGGGTCCGGTGAGTAGGGCTGGGTAGTGAAATGCTGGGGGGTGGAGAGGCTGAAGCAAGCCTTAGAGCCCACGGGAGGCCACGGGTTTAGGCACTTCCCCAGCAGTTGGCTCTGGAAACTTCCCCTTCTGTACAGTGGCCTATACCAGGTGGGCGCTGGAACCTGCTAATGGGGAGCACCAACCTGCCTCACTCCAGGCTCCCTCCCATCATCTTGGGAATCCCCTGCCCCCCTGGACACTGGAATGCCCAGAGCCCAGTCCAGCCAGGGTCATCCTACCTGCCCCTACTCCTCTTGCCAAAGCAGGCAACTGTGCTCCAGATGGGGCTCGGCAGGGCAGTTGGGGGCAGGGAAAAGCAGCTAAGAGTCCAGTCAGGGACTAGGACTCCTGTCACCACAGCTACCCTCAGTGAGCTTTCTTAGAACAGCTTAGTGCTTGCTTCTGCCTCAGTTTACCCCTCTGCACTGATAGGCTTTTGTTCTCCTTCCTCTCCTCGCTGAGGGTGGAGCCTTGAAAAAAGGTTTGAGGCCCCAAGCTTACCGACAAATGCCAGTTCTACCCGCCCCTTGTCCTTTTCAGCTGCCAGGCCCCTCCTGTCTCCCAGAGGAAGGTTAGGAATGAAGGAGATTAATTGCAATTAATAATTAATTAATATCATGTGAATAATAATCACCCAGATGGAATATTCATTCATTCAGCATGCCTCAGCTCTCCAGGAGCTGGAAGCTGAAAGTTAGCCAGGCCGATGGGGGCGGTGGAGGACGGGATGGTGAAGGCCTGGCAGAAACAGGAGATGTAGAGGAGACTCAGAGGAAGGTCCAACTGAGGTCTGGGAAGTTTTGGCAGCTGGGAGTGGTGGGAGGTAAATTGGGCTGGGCAGAGGGAGGAAGGGGGGAAACGGAGGCTAACATTACGGACATCTGTCAGATTGGCATCTGGCCCTGCCTAATGTACTTGGTTAAAAGCCCTTAGGGGGGGTGGAGAGGGCTGGGGGGTGCAGGGGGGGATACTCGGGAAATGGAATGGAGCAGGAAGGCAGCATGCATAATAGATGGACCATCACTCAGAGTAGTGCAGCGAGGGGAGGGGGTTATTTAATGGGCCTGAACAGGCAGGCCTGGATGCGGTGGGAGTTGGGGAGGGGCAGGGGGAGCAGGGAGAGGAGGGGGGAGGAGGGGGAGTGATGCGGGTGGAGGCTGCCCTCAGCACCTGCGGAGGATCCCTGGGAGGTGGTAGATGGGGAGTAAGGATGGTCCCAGGCCAGGGATGGCATTTGGTCCTTAGTCTGGCTTTTTTCCTTGGTGTCCCCACACTGAGAACTGTTCACCCCAAGGCTTTGCTGGCTAGGAGTTGACTGCCAGCCCATCTGCTGGGCCTCCTGGCTGGTGCTTTAGGGGATGTACAGACAGGAGAATGCGGTGATACCACAGTGGGGGCTGGGTAGAGATGCAGAATGGGGTTCTTAGCCTAGTCCTTGCTGAGCAGAAAGACAGTTGGGAGGCCCTGGGGTACATGGTGCCTGTGCTGTGCTGGAAATTGAGAGAATGCAGTCAGACTGCATGTGCTGAGTATGCAGAGGATGGAGGAGTCTCTTTGGGTGTCATTTTGCTGGGTAGCATGTGTGTGACTGAATCTGAATCTAACCAAAGGGGGTCTGAGGGGGTGGGGGTGGGAGTGGGGGGTTCTGTGGATCTGTGGGGCCACGGTCACTTCCAGCAGTGCAGGGGGCCTCTCTGAGATTGAGCCTTCCCAGGTACCTCACTGCAGCCTCCCGAAGGGACTTACTCATAACCCTGCCTTATTTCTACCTCAGTTTCCCCTGACATGGAGTTCTCACAACTCTGTAAGGCGGTAACCTCTGTCTTCCCACTTTGCAGATGAGCAAAGCGAGGCTCAGAGAGATTGAGTAACTTGCTTAAAATCAATTAGATCTTAAGCAGGGGGGATGTCTTCTCCAAGACCAGATACTTACCACTGCACCATTCTGTCTCCAAGGGAAACAAAAAGACATGTTCAGAATATTTCCCCCTGGCCAGGAGATACTGCACCCTCTGCCTCCTACCTGGCATTTCTCCCTGGAGCTCTTCTGGCCTAGGGACCCGGAGCCATGCAGGGTCAGCCTGTGTCCCAACAGGAAGTGCCCCAGCTCGGAGCTGCTGGGCCTTGTTCGAAGTTATAGCATTGGTTTGGGACCTCAGGCAAAGCGAGATGTTGGATCACCAGCAAGATCTCCATCTGCTGTGGGTCATGTGGCAAGTCTGGGGGCATGTGCTGGCTGACAGGGCTCAGATGGTGGAGCCTTGGGTGCTAACTTGCTCTGGCCATGGGCTGGTCACACCTTTCTGAGCCCTAGATCCCTGATACCTAAAATCAGGATGGTCATACCATTCATCTCAGCCTCACCCACAAGTAGCCAAGTAAAGACTGATACCTGGAGCTACACTCCAAACCTGCCTTTCTTTTGCTCAGGAGTATAGTAAAGAGGGACACAGGGACCCTTTCTCTCTTTGCCGAATTTCTGTCCAGTCTGGAAGCTTGCTGGGCCTGAGGCCCAGAGGGGTGGGGGAGCTTCTGGAGGTGCAGAAACTGGTGGACACAGAGAGCCTGCAGCTGAGGGTTGAAGCCAGAGACAAAGGAGGGCTGCCGTGTACAGTTGGGTTGGTTGTTCACTGCAGGTAGTCTGGGCAAGTGGGCTGAATGAAATCTGCAGGCCTATGAGGCTGTATGTGTTCTGAGGAGACTTTCTCTAATCCACACAAAGCTTCCTGCCCCTTGGGGAAACCTAGACCAAGAAAAGGGCAAGGTGTGGGGAAGTGAACAGGATGGGTGTGTAGGGGGTCCAAGGCCCAAGAGACAGGCAGATGCTCCTCTGAGCAACCTGGGGGAGGGGAGCCCATCACTGGGCTGAGCTGCCCAGCCCAGCACTTACTGCAAATGCCACCCTGGAAGACCTGGGCTGCTGTCTGCTCAAGTGTTTGTGTTTTCTTGCTGCAGAGGGCTGGCGGACAATTGGGCAAGGCTCAGTCCCCAACCTTTGCAAGATGACAGTCACAAAGAGCTACAGGGTCTGTGCCTGGGGCCGTAGTGCCCCACCCAGGCCAAGGCCACACTGTGGTCTGTGCAGCCAAAGTTGCAGCTCTGTTCTGGGATCAGAGGCAGGCGGGGGCCTGGGAAGGGACTGGTGACCGGAAGCCAGAACTAGGATTGGTGCTGAGCCCATCTTGCTCCAGGGAGGGTTGTGAGCCCTGCCATGACATCTAGTAGAGGGAGAGTTCACACAGGAGGCTAAACTTGGGTCTGAGAGGCTGTATGTGGAGCAAGACAGCCTTGGTGGGTCCCGGCTCTACTGCTTCTGACCAACTGACTGGGGCAAGCTGCAGCAGCCTGCTGAAGCCCACCCTCCTCATCCATAAAGCCATAGGAGTTTCCACTATGCCCAAACTACTGTGAGGATTACAGGAGATGTACATCAGGTGTCCTGCCTGGGATCGGGCAAGAGCAGATGCTCAGCGTCTGTGAGGCTTGCCCTCCCTCCTGAGCGTCAGGGCCAGGGTGCAGGACAGTTAGTGCTGGCGTGAGGGCTGGGTGTCACACACAGGAGCAGGGCATTTGGGGATTACCTGTCAGGCTCCGGGGGTGATGGTGGTGGGGACAATGAGAACAGGAATCTTGAGTCCTTCCCACTCTGTCCTGTAGGCTTGGCCTAACCTAATCACCTTCCTGGCTACCTAGAGGGATCCAGCTGCCCAGAGTCTGTCCCCAGAGGGACTAATGACCCTGTAAGGAAGTGACTCTGTCCTCAAAAATTCAGGTCAAATCCCATTATCGGAAATTCATCCAACTGTTCTCACTATCTGGAACTCTTGCTGCTCTGCTAAGTGGAGGCTTGGTGCATCCTGGGGAACATGGGAGGGGATTTCTCCCAGGTGGGGTCCGTGCCTCTCTGGCTCCTCCCTACTCCACCCAGGCTCCCCCACCCAGCCCATGCAGTTTATCCATTTCGTCAAAGCCCTGTTCAGCTGGAACACCTACACTTCCTTCTTCATTTATTATTGCTAGTACTGATTCTTGTGATAGAACACTTTAAAAAGGGCTTTCATCTTATCTTCACCACCCCATTTTACCAATGGGGAAACTGAGGCTGAGAGACTTTAATCAGCTCGCTCAGGCCTTCTGATGCCTTTCCATTCCACAGAAGGTTGCCACAGCCCTCTTTCCAGGGGACTAAAGGCTGCCCAGGGAAAAGTTGAATCAGGGATCAGAGAAATAGATGCCAAGAACTTTGTGTTTAAAGGCCCAGGAATAGAGGCCAAAGCCCTGTGTTGGATGGTGGGTACAGGCTTTGCAGAGAGGGTGAGGAAGAGAAGGTCAGGGGAGAGATTAGTTTGGGAGGAGGGATTTGGGGTGACTGAGGGGCAGTGCCTGGACATTTTAATTTTCTGGGGCATCTGGGAACTCTAAAGATCCTTAGTCTCCCCCTTCCCAAGACTGTGATTCTGTAGGTCTGGCACCTGCATTTGTGGTTCGGGACTTCAGTGGGACCTCTGTCTCCTTCCCTCTGCCCCCTGTATTTGGTTGGGCCTGATAGTGGGGCATAAACAGGTGCCTGGGGAGTGGATAGGCCAGCAACAGGGAAGCATGGTCACCCTAGCCAGGTGGCCACAGCTGCCACGGCGGACACGAACTCCAGCCCAAGGGTGAGACTTGATGCACGCCTCCCCCTGTGGCCCTGGGCTGGTCACCTCCAAGTGTCTCTCCCTGAGCCTTGTCTTGGCGGCTGTAAAATGAGCACCAGACAGCCTGGGTGGGTTGAGATCAAATGAACCTGGGCACCTGAGAGCCGGATGGCCGGGGAGAAAGAGGCGAGAGCAGGGCACTGGGTCGAGGGCTGGCCAGCTGCTCACCAGCAGCGCTGAGCTGGGCTCAGGGGAGGGAGGTGACAGGAGACCAAAGGGGCTCCCCAGGGAGGGGCTGAGGGACAGTGGAAGAGGTCAGGGGCACATCAGGGGCAGGAGGCAAGCCAGGCAAGGAGTGGCTGTAACAGGACATGGGCTGAAAGCTTGACTGGAGACTTAGGACTCTGGTGCCAGCAGGACCCTCTCCCAGGTTCCTGAGGTTGGGAGACCCTGGGGCCTGAGGTGGGTCTGACCGATCCTTTTCCTTCAGACAGGAGTTGCCCTCTGTGTCCCCTGTATTGGGCCAGGCCAGGCAAAGCTTCCCAGCTCTCGGGTTTCCTTCCTCTTCCTTCCACAGCCTTTGGTGGCTCCCCCAACCCCTCCTGGGCCTGCTTCCAGCCCAGGCCCCAGCCCCAGCAGCTGCCCTTGCTCAGTGGCAGGGTCTCAGCTGGCCTGAGCCCAGTCTCCTGCCAGGGAAGAGGGCAACACAGCCCCACAGATAGGCCTCAGCAGACGGGGAAGGCGATGAGGCCTTCGCAGGCTGCAGGAAGTGGAAGGGACAGAGGATCTGGTCTCTGCTCCAGCATTAGTCCCGGCTTTCCCCAGGGTGGGGGCAGCTTGGTCTGTGCAGAGAGGGGAGAGTCCAGGTGAGTTAGCTTGCTGACTTTCCGAGTAGGCGCAGTTCTGCAAGCACCAGGGCCGACTGCAGGAACCCTCCAGGCCTGGGGCGACCCCTGCCATACAAGCCAACCTCACAGCCGTGCATCTGGGCTCATCTACCATTTTCGGTGGGAAAATTTGAGGCTCGGAGAGGTTGCTGAATCGTCCCTGAGGCTGCACAGCCTAAGAGAATGGACTGAGGACAAGGGGCTTGGATAGGCAGCTCCTCTGGGTGGCGAGTGTGGAGGTGGGGATAGGGGCTCATCACTGGGGGCCAAAAAGAACAAGCAGGAACAGACACGAGGGCAGGCGACTTAGAGGTGGTCCAGGCAGGGATGGCCCGACAGGGGTGGGGGAGGGAGAGGCAGAGAATGCCTAAGCCCAGGAGGGGAGGACCAGCTCATCCAGGCCGGTGGGGGTGGGGGCAGGGGTGGGAGTGGGGCTTAGGACTGGTGCAGGCTCAGGTGCTGGGGGACAGCAGAGATGGTCCAGGCCAAGCTGGGGCAAGGAAGCAGTGACTCCTTGTCCTTGACTTTCTGTTTCGGGCCTGAGCAACACTCTCAGGCTCGGGATGGAGCTTGGAGCCTCAGTCAGCCTGGGAAGGGGTGAGTCGGTGTCCTTGGGACTCCGAGAGCTGACTACCCAGGCTCCAGCCCTTCACTCTGCCTCACCCTACTTCCAGGAACTGTGATGGACATTGGGCCATTTCATCTTACCTCATCTTTGGGGTGACAAGGCCTTGGAAGCTGGTTTCCTAGGCTTGAATCCCAGCTCCACTACTTCTTAGCTGTGTGGCCTTGGGCAAGTTAATTAGCCTCTCTGTGCCTGTCTCACCATCACACGAGGATAACAGTAGCATCTATCCCACTGGGTTGTTGTGAAGATCAAATATGGTAATACTTGTGAAGTATTTAGAACGGTGCCTGGCACATAAGTGCTCAGCAAAAATTAGAAATACAGGTGGCTGATGAGGATATGGGATATCTTGACATCAGGGCTCCCTTCCATCCCATGACCTACTCCATGCAAAAAAAAGGCAGCAAATGAAAGCCCAGTGATGGGACCCTTAGCTGGGGTCTAGATTTCTTATATGGACCTGGGGCAGGAGGAAGGCTCCAGCCCCTCTCACACCTTTTCTGTGTTTCCAGATCTTTTGTAAAACCTGAAGCTTGGGGTTGGGGACACAGAGCCCAGAAAGCTGACTCTCCCTCAGCCCAGACCCTCCTGCCCCTTCTTCTCTTGGGGTCGCTCTCCCTCCAGGCACACGAGCTTCAGGTCTGGAGTCCCTGCCCCCAGGGGGAGCTGGGCGCCGGCCTGGGTGGGCAGCCCTCTTGCTCAGGCTGGTGCGTTGCCATGACAACCCGGAGCCTCCCAGTCCCACTGCAAAGGCCCCTCTGAAAAATTTATCAGGAAAACTTCTGTGTTTAAAAATTAACCATGGGATTGAAATATTAAAGATGAGCTGCTTTGGGCAAGGCAGAGGGCAATGGACTTGGGGGTAGAGGAGCCAAGTTCTTTCCTCCTCACAGGATGGCATCTGTCCATCACCCCAGCTTCCAGGGTCCCTGCGATCAATTCCAACCCATCTACCCCTGTCTGCAGAGTCTGAGGCCTCCTCCGTAAACTGAGACTGGGGGCCAGGAAGGGAAGGGCCTGCTTCAGCAGGGCCTGAGGGGTCACACTGCACTCCCTCCTTCTTGCCCCTCTCCCATACTTCTGGGGGCCTCCCTTTAGTCCCTGTGAGGGTGTTGTTGGCCCTGCCAACAGAAGAGAGGGCCAGGCATGGGGCGGTGGGCAGGCTGAACTACTTCTCTCTGACCCTGCCGCTCCCGTAGATGGGCCCCAAGGAGGCGCCTACACCAGGGAGGCTGGGCTGGCACCTGTGCCCTACATTGCTCACCCCCCTGGCTCAGAGAGTGGGTAGGCTGTGCCCAGGGATGCCCACTCCTGCCCCCACCCCCAGGAAAGGAGCAGCGTCTTAGAGTAAAGTGAGTTTCTACGAGGTATCTCCACTGCCACCCCCCAACCACCCCCCACCAATCAATGGTCCCCTCAGCTGCTGGGTTGGGCCATCCCCTCCCCAGGGCTACTCCCCATTCTGGGTTTCCCCAATTCCCACCTTCAGGCCTCCCCTCGTTGACTCGCCCTCTGCCCTTCCTCTGCCCCTAGCCTGTCCACCTGGCCCAGGTGAGTTTCATCATCCCAGCCTTCAACTCAAACTTCATTCTGGACCTGGAGCTGAACCAGTGAGTGTGGTCTGGAACCTGGGAGGAAGGGCAGCAGGTGGGTGGGCAAGGAGTGGCCTGGACTTGGCTGGCTGGGGGCTGGGCTGGGACAGGCCCCAAGTGACCCCCTCCTTCCTCCTGCTGACTCCTTCAGTCACCTGCTCTCCTCACAATATGTGGAGCGCCATTTCAGTCGGGAGGGGACGACCCAGCTCAGCACGGTGAGTGCCTTCAGTTGGGAGGGCACAAGGAAGGTGGAAGGAAGGGACAGGGGGCTGGTGGAGATGGGGTCCAGGGTATTCTCTATACTTGGGACGGGCCCAGCCCCTGGGGACGCTCTGTCTCTCCCCACTTTGGAAGCTCTGAGGGTCAGGGTCAGAGCTGGGGTGGCATGTTGAATGACATAGAGCTTGAGCTCCCCTCGCGGCACTGGGGGTCTGACTCCCATTCAGCCCCACTGCCTGGCATGGAGGCATTCAAGGGCCCTCACTACCCCATGCCCAGACTCTCTGGGAGGGGGATGTTGGGGAAATGCCTCTCGCTCAGAACCAAAGTCCTGGGAATTCCTGGCTGCCCAGAACACTAGGGTCCCAGCCCTGGAGGCCCAGGGGCCTAAGCAAAGATGAATGTCTATAAATAGCATTCCCCCACCCCAGGCTGCTCAGTAACTGGAGCACAAGTAACTCTGCAGGAAGCAGGGAGGGGGTGCTGGTCCCCTCTGACCTGTGAGTCCCGCCAGGACACATGCTGTTCACTTCCTCGGCCACAAACTGCCCGTCCCGGGGAGGCCCATGGAGGCAGTGTGTCTGTGAACACACTATGTGTGAAATTGTGTGTGCATGTTGGGAGTGAGTCCAGAGCTTTCACCTGATTAAGTGAGGTGATCTATGGTAAGTGCTTACCACAGTGCCTGGCACACAGTAGATGCTGTGTGAATGTCAGCCGTTCTGCTCAAAGGAGTCTGTGATCCCTGCACCAGCCCCAGCAATTGGGTAAGAACCACTGAGATACTCCACCCTCCTCATTTTATAGGTGAGGGGCAGGAAGCCCAGAGAAGGCTAGGAACTTGCCCAGGGGGAAACAGCAAACTAGGAGCACAGAGTAGAGCCAGGCTCCACAGGTCCAGGTGTACTGGGGCTACAGTCACCTGCACACGGGGCAGCTTCAGTGTGCCCAGCCATCCTCCTGGCCTTGCGCAGGGTGGGGGCATGTCCGCTCATGTTCCGCTGCTCTTCCAGGGGGCTGGAGACCACTGCTACTACCAGGGGAGGCTCCGGGGGAGCCCTCACTCCTTCGCCGCCATCTCCACCTGCCAGGGGCTGCAGTGAGTATGAGGAGGGCCTGGGTACTGGGGAAGCCTCAAGCCCGGCCCTGGGGACGGTGGGGAGCTGCACCTCTCTCTCTGCAGTGGGGTCTTCTCTGACGGGAACTTCACCTACATCATGGAACCCCGAGAGATGGCCAGGCCTCGGGAAGCCCCCCAGGTGAGCCCCATGTGGTCCCTTCTGCCACACTTGTTGGCTTGTCCCAATGGCTGTCACTGCCTTCTCCCTTGGTAACCTCAGCCTCACTGCCCTCTTCAGTGACCCCAGCTCTGGTTGCCTACCTCGGTGCCCCCAGCTCCAATGTCCCCTCTGTCCCCCGAGTAACCTCCCATTGGGCTCCAGTGTCTTTGCCCCTGCCTCTCAGGGGGCTCCCAGGTCTTGACCCCGGAATCTGAGCATCTGGGTGATGAGATCCGACCTGGGAGCCCCGGCCAGTTCTGTGTCACTGTGGGGCGGGGGAGGGGAGGACTGGAGCTGTCCCCCAAGCGGGCTCCAAGCAGACCTGGCTGGCCCCCAAAGACCTAATTCTCCCTCATTGCAGGGACCCCTTCCCCACCTCATTTATCGGACCCCTCTCCTCCCAGTCCCCTTCGAATGCAGGGAACCAGGTAAGGAAGGGAAGGTGGGGCTGAGGAGGGACGGCTGTGCCCCCCTCACTCGTCCCCTCCCACCAGGCTGCCTGTTTGCTACCGCTGCCCGTTCTGCTCCTCTGAGCCGCCTGAGGCTGAGAAGGAAAAGGCAGGTACGGGGCCCGCGCAGACCTCGGGCTGCAGAGACCTCAGGCTGTGGTCCAGCGCAGGACACCCTCATCCATGGCTGGGGCAAAGGGCTCAAACTGATGTGGCTGGAGGCCAGGGAACCGTGTCTGGGAGGAAGCCCCCCAACCCCCTAATACAGTATCTGTACACGTCCTCACTGTGGACAAACCGAGGCTGCCCGCCCTCCTACTAAGGCTGAGGAGGGATGGGACCCTCACCAGTGGGGGTCTGGCATTGTCCCTGCTGGAATCCAGCCCCCCGAGTCTGTCCATGGCTTGGCCACAATGCCAGATGTGGAGGGGACTGATTCCAAGTGCCCACCCATCCCCCAGGTCCGCCGGGGCCACCCTACAGTGCACAGTGAGACGAAGTACGTGGAGCTGATCGTGATCAATGACCACCAGCTGGTGAGTTCCCAGGCTGGAGGCAACCCTGGGAGGAGGGGCCGGAGCAGCTTCACCCTCTGCCCACTCTCCCCTCTCCTAGTTTGAGCAGATGCGACAGTCGGTAGTCCTCACCAGCAACTTTGCCAAATCTGTGGTGAACTTGGCAGATGTGGTGAGTAGCTGTTCCTTGCCTTCCCTCTCCCACCACGTCCCCCCCCACACTACACACATCCTTGGGGTGAGTTCTTGAGGGCACTATCAGCCTCTGAGCCCCACTTTCCGGAGAGACAGAGTGAGACCTTCCTGCAGCCCTGCCCCCCACACCTACTCCCATCCTCCAGCCCCTCCTCATCTTCCCTCTGGGCACAGATGTACAAGGAGCAGCTCAATACTCGTATAGTGCTGGTTGCCATGGAAACGTGGGCAGATGGGGATAAGATCCAGGTGCAGGATGACCTCCTGGAGACCCTGGCCCGGCTCATGGTCTACCGGCGAGAGGGTCTTCCTGAACCCAGTGATGCCACCCACCTCTTCTCGTGAGTCCCCCACCCAATGCATCCTGCCAGCCTCTGCTGGTTGCTGCAGTGCATGAGATTACTGCATACCTGCCCTGTGCCAGGTGCTCTTGCAGGGGCTGGGGGACTGTGCTCACCTTGCACCTGCTCCCAGCCACCTGCAACAGGCTGGGCACCTTCCCTTGCATCTTAGACTGATGCCCCGTTTCCCTACCCCTGGTGTTCTTCCTCTGCCCATCACCTCCCTTTTGTTCCCTCTTCCCCTTTCAACCTGTCCCAGCATCCCTTCCTCAGGGACCCAGCACCCTGCAAGGGGGGAGAAACCTGATAAAAGGTCCCTGCAATTAGAGATGATCTAATAGGAACCTGGCTTGTGGGCAGATGAAACCTAAGAGGGGAAAGGGCTTCCCGAAGGCTACGTAGGTTGACATAAAGGGCAATGCTCACCTCCCCAAGGAAGGGCTCTGGTGTGGGAGGCTCCCCAGTCTCCCCCTCAGTTCGGGAAGCTACTGAGGGAGGCCAGGAGGTTCTCCTGACATCCTTCTCCTCTCCAGGGGCAGGACTTTCCAGAGCACCAGTAGCGGGGCTGCCTACGTGGGGGGCATCTGCTCCCTGTCCAGGGGTGGGGGTGTGAATGAGGTGAGCAGTGTGGGGCATGGCTGGGGTGGGGAATTGGAGGCAGAGGGGATGCGAAGGGCTTGAGCCCTGTGCCTTTTGGAGAGGTGTAGACATCTTTTGCTCCATCTTCTTCACCCCAAGTATGACAACATGGGGGCCATGGCGGTGACCCTGGCCCAGACACTGGGACAGAACCTGGGCATGATGTGGAATAAACACCGGAGCTCGGCAGGTATCAATGAAGACCCCAGGTGGCCCACAACCAGCCCAGACCCGCACCCAGCAGCTCTAGAAGTAAAGAGGGTATCCATGGGACTGGGGAGGCCCTCTACCTCCCCTTATATCCACCTGACTCACCTCTCAGGGGACTGCAAGTGTCCGGACAACTGGCTGGGCTGTATCATGGAGGACACTGGGTGAGTTCTTGGGGACAAACTACAGGAGGGGTCTTGGGCGAGGGGAATACCAGAGCGAGCACTGGGTGGCATGCAGGACCTGGGTCCCCAGAGGCCCAGCTCTACTGCAGTGCGTACTGCTGCCACTGGGCGCCGCCAAAGCACCTTTCTTCCTTGGGGCTCTTACCTCCGACTGAGGTTAAGAGTCCTGAGGTTTCTGGGAGGGGACAGGAGTGACGTCCTCCGGTCTTTGTCGCTTGATGGACAGGCAGGACGATTCTCATGGTCTCCGGGCACATAGATTTTCATCCTCCTCGAAATGGTGACCGAGTGCCCCGGTTCATCCCATCCCCAATCTTGAGAGCGTAGGTGGCGGGGAAGTCGCGGGCCAGGACCCGGAAGCACCGTCCTCTTTCTCCTACCCAGGTTCTACCTGCCCCGCAAGTTCTCACGCTGCAGCATCGACGAGTACAACCATTTTCTGCAGGAGGGTGGCGGGAGCTGCCTCTTCAACAAGCCCCTCAAGGTACAGGCCGCGGGACAGAGAACGTGGGGGTGGTGCTTGGGCAGGACCCTGGCCGGACTCTGGACACCCCTTTCCCGTCCAGCTCCTGGACCCGCCCGAGTGCGGGAACGGCTTCGTGGAGGCAGGGGAGGAGTGCGACTGCGGCTCGGCGCAGGTGAGCGACTGGTGCGGGCGCCGGGTGGGGACGGGGGGGGGGCGCCAGGGAGAGGGCGGGTAGGGAAGGCGAGGGTTCGCCCGCCTCCCTCCCCTTCTCCCCGCGTCCCTCAGGAGTGCGGTCGCGCGGGCGGAAACTGTTGCAAGAAATGCACCCTGACTCACGACGCCATGTGCAGCGACGGGCTCTGCTGTCGCCGCTGCAAGGTGAGGGGTACCAGCAGCTAGGGCGGGACCAGGAGAAACGCTGGGGAGGAACCAATAAGGGGCGGGACTCAGGGGGGAGGAGCCGCGGGAGCGGAGGAATCTGGAGGTGTCGGGTTTGGCGTGAAGAAATCGCCAATGGGGAGAGGAGGGCGTGCCGTGCGGTCTGCTCGGGTCTGTTGAGGGCGGAGCTACGAAGAGTGGGAGGGGAACTGTCGGGCTGTGGAGGGAAGGGCGGACTGTGAGCCGGCCGGGGGGCGGGGCAAGCGGGCGGGGCGAGGAGGGCAGGCTCGGGCGAGGCGAGAAGGGCAGGCCCGGGCGGGGGCCACGCAGGTTCTTCCCGGAACGCTCCCTCCCTTCCTCAGTACGAGCCGCGCGGCGTGTCCTGCAGAGAGGCCGTGAACGAGTGCGACATCGCGGAGACCTGCACCGGAGACTCGAGCCAGGTCCGCCCGATCCCGCCGCGCTGCGGAGCCCCGGGCGTGGCAGCTCCTGTCCCTATCAGTTTGGCTCTGCCGGGTGACCTCCTTGCCCCTCAGCTCCCCTCTGCCGTCGCCGGCTCTGATCAGCCTGTTTCCACATCTGAGAAAGGGGTTCTTCATGCCTCCTGGCTTTGGTCCTTCAGTCATTAAACTAGTATTTAGTCTGGCTGGTGTTCCCAGCGTCTGGCGCGCTGCCTGGTATGTGCTTGGGATCAGAGTGGATAATTTTAGTTAACAACTCGTAAGGACTTACTACGTGCCAGGCATTTAGTTCTCCCAGTCCTGTGAAGTAGGTGCAGGAAATGGAGACTGGGAGACTATGGCACTTGCCAGTCTGCGTGGTCTGAGTTCTGAGCCACACCTCCTGTCTGACCCGGAAGAGCCCTGTAACATGAGCCCTTCACCCCTCTCTGGGTCAAGCCTCAGCTCTCCGGCCTGGGGCTGCTCTGCTCAGTCCAGTCCCTCTCTTCACAGTGTCCCCCTAACCTGCACAAGCTGGATGGTTACTACTGTGATCATGAACAGGTATGATGGGGTGGGAGCTTCTCCCCCTTCGAGTCTTTAATTCTGTACAGTCTCTTGTCTCCACTTTGACCACTCTGTGTCTTGGTCCCTGTCCTCTATATGTTAGGGCCGGTGCTATGGGGGTCGCTGCAAAACCCGGGACCGCCAGTGCCAAGCCCTTTGGGGCCATGGTGAGTCTTTGGCCCGGGAATGGGAGAGGGGACGCTGGAGGACCCAGCGTCAAGAGGCTGGGGAGGAAGCACGTTCTGGTTGTATATGCCCTCCACCAAATGTGTGGCTCCCCAGGATCTCAGGGACCCCGCTAGATTGGGGACTAGGACAGAATGTTTAAAGTTCAGGCCTGAGGTCCTGGGGGGTGGGTTCTGGGTGAGTGGGGTGACATCTGGCATCATTTTACAGTGGCTGCTGATCGATTCTGCTATGAGAAGCTGAATGTGGAAGGAACAGAGCGTGGGAACTGTGGGCGCAAGGGGTCAGGCTGGGTCCAGTGCAATAAACAGTGAGTTGCTGTGGCTCTTGGTTGGGCCTCCCCAGCTCCTGAACTGGGGAAGGTTTTTTTCAGACATGGGGCAGCAGGTCTCCTAGGACAAGTCTGTGAGTCCCAATGGGAGAATATGTGAAAAACAAGGTGGAGGGGAGGGGGCAGATTTGAGTTCATCAGTTGGGTCTTAGGTCAAACTGTCTTCTCCATGCTGCCCCAACAGGGATGTGCTCTGTGGCTTCCTCCTCTGTGTCAACATCTCTGGAGCTCCTCAGCTGGGGGACCTAGGGGGAGACATCAGCAGTGTCACCTTCTACCACCAGGGCAAGGAGCTGGACTGCAGGTGATAGCTGGGACCGTGGCTGGGAAAGGGGAGGTTGCAGCTGTGTGGGGGTGGGGGCAAGGGCCTAGGTTGGGTATGTGCCACTCTCCAGGGGTGGCCATGTGCAGCTGGCTGATGGCTCAGACCTGAGCTATGTGGAGGATGGGACAGCCTGTGGGCCCAACATGCTGTGCCTGGATCACCGCTGCCTGCCAGCCTCTGCCTTCAACTTCAGCACCTGCCCTGGCAGTGGGGAGCGTCGGATCTGCTCCCACCACGGGGTGGGTGCCTGGAGGCCAGGGATGGGGAGGGGCTTACAAGAGGGGAACAGGCCCTGCTCACCTCTACTGGCCCCACCACCTGGCCTTTAGGTCTGCAGCAACGAAGGGAAGTGCATCTGTCAGCCGGACTGGACAGGCAAAGACTGCAGTATCCACAACCCCCTGCCCACGTCTCCACCCACGGGGGAGACGGAGAGATATAAGGGTGAGGCTGGTGCTGGCCAAGGTGGGGCTCTGGCTTTCCCATTTTCCAAGCCTGGCCCTGCCAACCAAGCCCCATCCTCCTCCCTAGGTCCCAGTGGCACCAACATCATCATCGGCTCCATCGCAGGGGCTGTCCTGGTTGCAGCCATCGTCCTGGGTGGCACAGGCTGGGGATTTAAGTAAGAGACACACATGCTCCCTCCATCCCCCGCCATCCTTGGGGAGTTATTAGAACCCCAGACTATTGGAGCTGCAAGGTTAGCTAAACCAGAGCTCCCACATCACAGTCCAAGCCAGCCAAGGAGTCTTGTTTTAAACCAGGAGATTTTACAATAACAATCCTGATTTCCAGCTTCTCTTGAAAAATGAGAAGATTGGGCCCCCCTGTTTCTCAGTGCATCCCAGCACAGCCACAGAGTGGAGCTGAGCAGGCTGCCTGAGACACGGCCTGTGTCCCCCATCCCCAGGCCCCACCCAGCCTGTGGTGTTCTGTGGGCATCCGATTCTGGGACCCTCGAGCTGGTCTAACACCCCTACCCCCCAATGTACAGAGGAGGGACTTTAGGCACAGAGCCAATGGTGAGTCAGCTGCACAGTCAGGACTCAAACCCAGGTCTCACTCCCTAGACCTGTCACTAGTGACCTGGCCCATCTCTGGGGCAAGGGGTCTAGACCATGGGAGCTGGAAGGCCCCTCCCAGAGAGAAGTGGAAGGTCACAGATGGCTCCTTTTCCTCTCTCTCTCTGCCTGTCCTCTCCTTGGCTCCTGAAGAAACATCCGCCGGGGAAGGTACGACCCGACCCAGCAGGGGGCAGTGTGACGCCGGCCACGTCATCCACCCTGCTGTCCCTGTCTCCTCCATCTCATTGTCACCTCGCATTCTGTTGATGGGGAGCTGGGGGCTGCTTCCTCCACCCCTGATGTCACTGCTGTCACTGCAGGGGTGGGCAAACCCCACTCGGGGATGGAAGTCCTCAGCCTGCCCTTGCCCCTTCCTCTTGCCTACCTATCCCCTCAGGCCTTGATCCATTTACTCCTGCCCTTCCTGTGACCAGACCACCCCTGGCCAGGTGGACCCTGGAGCTGTGTCCCCTGCAGCCCGTCCCCTGGGACGGGGGTCTACCCCAGCGTCCCATCTGTTTTGTCTTCCATGTCTCCACTGTCTGACCTCCTGCCAGATCCCCTCCCTGGCCAACCTGTGACTTGCCTCAAGGGCCCAGCCCTGACCTCCCGGGGCTTCCTCGGGGGCTCTCCCTCTGGGCTCTGCCTCATATCCTCCCCTGACAGCCCCTCTCCGTTCCAGGTCCGGAGGGGCCTAGGTGCCACTCCCCTCCCTCCAGCCTGGCGCCCGTCTCCGCCCTGAACCTCAAGGCTGCCACAGAGGGAGGCACCATGCACATGTCTTCCGGGCCCAAGCCCTTCAACTCCTGGCCTCACGGGCACGGGTGGGGGGCTGTGGCCCTGACCTTCACACCACCATGGTGGACCAGGCCTGGGGCGCTTCCCTCATGGTCCCTCGCCCCACCTCATGCGGCTTTGGCCTCACACACCAACCCTCCCCGTGTGAATGTAGCTTCCATTATCACAGACTGCCACAGCTCAAGGGTCCGGGGAGGGCTAGAGGGAGGCCCCAGTGGGCACGGCCTGGGGTGGCCCTTCCGCAAAACCAGGCAGCTGGGACCAGGGCTTTAGCTCTCTGGGACTTAGGCAGAGGGGGCTGACATCTACACTTTTTAAATGAATCTTAACTGATGAATGTAACTTTGGGGGTGTTGGGGTTAGGGTAGTTGTGGGGATGTTTTGACATTTGTGGGAGGGGCCGGAGGAACCGAGGCATGGCCATCCTCAAGGCCTTCTCCTGGGATTATTGCACCTGGAATTCTCACTAAACCCAAACGTTCCCCAAGCCAGGTGGGGGTGGGCATCCTTGCTTGCCCCTCCATCCAGCCCTGCCGAGCTTGGAGAGAAGTACCAGTGCTGATACAAACCAAAGCTGCCTGTCCCGTGCCCAAGGCCTAGGTCATAGGTACGGTGACCCCATGTCCCAGAATGTTTTCAATTCCAAAATGACCATCCTGCTGTCTTTGTCAGGACGCATATATCTGGGGGTCTAGATACAGTTCCTGAAATAGAACGGCACCTTCCCCCTTTCAAGAAGGGTAATTCTGGAGCTGACTCAGGGTTTAGGTGCCTCCTGGCATGGCCTAGAGGTCCCAGGCTGGGCCGTTTTCCCAGGGAGGACTCTCCCAAGTAGGGAAGGCCCAGTGCCTGGAGGATTTGCCTGTGATGTGAAGAGAGGTGGGAAAAGGCAGGTCTCATGTATGATCCTCAGCTTCTAGAAAAGTCCTCAAGGCCCTGTTAACTCCATTCTACTCCTTGCCTTCATTCCAGGGCCGAGTAGTAAGTTTACAGTTGTTTTCCCCATTATGCCCTCTGATCCCCACTGCAGCCCAGCCTGAGAGACAGGCTGAGGTCTGGCAGAACGCCTCAGCCTTCCCACCAATACAGTCCTGCCCGTGGCCTTCCCTCAGGACTCTTGCTTGGGACAGAGGAGCTCTGGTTCCTGACTGCTGCATGCAGCCAGCAGGGGCAAGATGGGGATCAAGTTACCTTATGGATGAAAGCCACAAACAAATGGAGCCCCTCTCCCCAGGGATGCCCCACCTAGACTCAGCAGGGGCTTCTGAAGGCCCCAGGGCCTTTGAGCTGCCTATTTCAGTCCCTGTGTTTTTGGGGCATCTTTGAGGAGTCACGAGATGGCTCCTGTTGATCTGCACCACCCCTCAGGGCAAACTGGGGCTGAGACCCATTGACACAATTTTGGTTACAGTGGTCACACTGGGGTTCTTAATACTGAGTTCCAGCTGGCACTGCCCAAGCAAAGGGGGTGGATGGGGTACCCCTCTGGCCAATCCTGCTCCACCAGCCCCACAAGCTGGGCCAGGGCAGGAGGGTAAGGGCTGGGTTTTGCACTATTGCTGTGGTACTTTAAGGCATCCTTGGGTGGTACACACATACACAGGTGGTGCATCTGGTACAAGCATTTGAATCTACATCTGCACAAGTGTGAACATCTCTGCATACACAGGCAGGTCTGTGTGTGTGTGTGTGTGCACATGGGGGGTGGGGGTGGGGATGTGAGGACCGAGACACTTCCTGTGACCAGTCCGCTCGGCTCCCAGCTGTCTGCATCCTCGAGCCCCACCCTGGCAGCGCTCAGGGAGGAGCGGGGGCTGTGCTGGCCTGGGCCTGGAACTGGCTCCATACAACATCCTGTAAATATGTCATATGGGCTCAGAGTGGGGAGGCAGGGATAGGAACATCAATTAAAGATCAAGTCCTGGGGCCTCCATGGAGCTCATACCAACTTGTGTCTCTCCTTTCTGCAAATGACTGCACTTGACTTGGGGCCCTGTGTTGCCCTCCCAGGTGCTGGAGGGAGCATGGTGACAGGGGCACTGAAGCTGGGAGGTGTACACCCAGGCCTGGCCTGGGAGGCTGGCAGGAAGTGGGCTAGCTGTCCACTCACAGTCAGGAAATAGGTCCCGACTAGGCGGAGGGCCTGGCCCTTCTGCTTCTGCTGCTCTCCCAACAAAGATAACGCCCTCCTCTGGCCTCTGCAAAGCAGACAGTGGTGAGCAGGAAAGCTACTTGCCAAAAGGCAGAACCAACTTCCCTTTTATGGCTGAAGCCTAAGGAGCCTCTCCTTGCCCCACTAGAGATCCCAGGAAGCTGGAAAAATCTGCTAATCTGGTCCCAAGGGCACTTGTTCTTGGCCCCTCCACAGAGAATGTGCTCTTTCTCCCTTCTGCTGGGCCTGGGGCAGGAAGGGACTGAGCAGGTCCAAAGCTAAGAGCTCCTCCTGGCTGGAGGCCCAGCAGAGCCAGAGCCTCTTATTTCCATCTTCTCCTGAGCGCTCTGGGTCTAGAGGCACTGGCTCTGAAAGTCCTGTTTGTCCAGGGGAAAGATAAGATGAGAGAGGTGGGGACAGGGAAGGAAGGAATGGAAGGATAGGAGATAATGGGAGCAAGAAATAGCAGCAGCGGGTGAGGGTCTGATGAGAATGAGCAGCCAACTGGAGGATCACAGTCCCATCCCCGTCCTCATTCCTGGCAGCACTCCCAGGACCACCTCGGCTCACGGGCAGAGGAGGACACAGATCCCCCCCGGTCTGGCACCTCAGTCCCCCAGGACATCTGGAGCATGTCCAGTCTCCCCTACAGTGGACAGCTTCCTCCCGCTGGGCTGGGGGTGCGGCAGCCTGGCTGGACTCACAAATCTACCAAGCACGACCTGAAGTCTAGGCTTGCCCTGTCTTCCCTGCTTAAGGCAGGAAAACCCTGTTTTGACCTTTCTTCACTGCTTCTGCCCTTAAGTCTCCCATTCTCATGTTCCCGTCTGTTGTGACTTTCAAACTTGGTCTGATGTGCCCCTTCAGCTAGTGGGAAGTGTGGCTTCCAGCAGAGAACGGCAAAGGATGCAGATGAGGCTGGGCAGCAGTGGCTCAGTCACTCTTGACAGCTGCCCCTCAGCCTCATGTTACCCGTGTGGGTGCCCAGAGGCACAGGAGGCTGCAGGGCAGAGCAGGCCCTGGCTGGCAGTGGGGATGCCAGGAAGGTGCCCTGAGCCCTCTGCCCTGTGATGCCGGCCTTCCACCCGGGTGGAAGGCTCCATAGACTAGAATGGAACATCAGATCTGGTCCAAACAGGTGATCTGAAAAGTACTTACTTTGGCTTCAGAATATGTCAAAGGCAGTGCTGGTAGGGTGGTTCCTAAAGAAAGTGGAGTGGGACAAGAAATTTGAAATTTGCTATGTGTGGAACCCCCGGGTATGTTTTTTCAAAAGTGGAAAATCCTTTGGGAAATCATTACCCAGGCTGTCTCTGAGCCACCTTCCCTAAACTAGCACTCCCCTGCTGAAGATTGCTGGGTGGATCATGGGTACAGGTTCCAATTTCCAGTTCTATTTGCTCAGGCTCATGTGTGGGCCCCTCATGAGTTGAAAGTGGCTAGGCTGGAGAGCTGGGGGTGCCAAGCCCACTCTGCACCCTGCAGGTGGCTCACAGTCTACATGCTGGGTTAAATGAATGATTACGAATTCATTACAACTCATTCCAGGGTCTAGACCAATGCTGTCCAATAGAATGAGGCCCACAAATGCAGTTACATATGTATTTTTGTATTTTCTAGTGGGCTTATTAAAAAAAGAAACAGGTGAAGTTAATGTTTTATTAAATCTAATATATCCAAAAAAAATCTCATTTTAACATGTGATCAACATAAAATAATCATTGAGATGTTACACTGGTGTTTTTGTTTGGGGTTGTTTTTGTCACTAAGGCTTTGATATCAGGAGTATATTTTGCACTTAAAGCACATCTCAGTTTGGACTGGCTACCTTTCAAGTGCTCAACAGCCACATGTGGCTACCATACTGGACAGCGTAGGTCTGGACCATAAGTGACGCTTCTGAGTTGCAATATCTAAACCCAGGAAACCCTGAGATTAGGCAAGAGCAGAAGAAAGGAAACAAACTACCGCAGGGAAGACCCAGATCAGCTGCAGTGGACACAACCACACAGGTCATAGGGGATTTGTTGGAACATTTGTAGGAGGCAAGAGAGGTGCTGGGGCGATTCACAGGATTGGGGAATTTTAACTTGACCTATAGTGAGACAACTAGCTGTGTCCTGGCCTGAAAGTGCCTCTGGCTCCAGGAACTTGGGGTGACTAAAGTAAGATTTCTATCAACCTTTTCAAAGGTTGGTGGGAGAGAGAGGCAGGCCCTGAGGCTTGGTGCAGAGGAACCTCTTCTTGCCAAAAAGACTTCGCAGGCAAGGGCCGTCAGTACCAGCTTGAGCTTCAACTTTTGGCCTTGAAGACTGAGATTCACTCTCATTTCTTGAGAAGCCACATCTAAGGGAGTGAGATCCACAGAGCCCCTCACAGGGCCCTGAGAACCTCCTACCAAACCCAGAGACCCCTTGTGCCCTGGCCTCGCTCTGCACCCCCTGGGGGCCTCTCCAGCCTTCTGGTGTTGAAAGCAAAGGCAGGAAATAGATGCTGGTCAGTGTGGTGAGTTGAGCTTCAGCTCTCCTGTCCTTTAAGAGGTCTACGATATTGCAACCCAGGGACCACCCCTGGCAGCCACAGCTGAAACACGCACTGGCAGCCCCTGCAACAGTGCGGAGTCCTCGGGAGGGTCCACGGTCACCTGAGCCCTTGAGAGAGCAGCGTCTCCCTGCCTCAGGAGGCTGGATAAGATCCTCCATGCTGAGTGCCAGCGACAGCCTCCCACTTGGTCACATGCTGCATTCTAGGTCAGCTATAAGGGGACAGGTGCCACTTTGTCCCCCAGAATGCTGATAGAACACCCTTAGTGCTTCACTGCCCTTTGCTCTTACACAAAGCTATTCACATGGCCCACTGAACTCCAAACTGAGACCAAGCCTGCTCTGTTCCCTGGAGAAGGGACAGCAGTTCGGCACCCTCCCTGGCCCTGTGCTGCCACTGGCTCAGTCCTCGAGCCCTGTGGCCTTCTTGGGCAATGCTTCAGTTGGGTTCCAAAGTGTTAACTGCTGTTCCCCTCATGCCCCACGCCAGTGCCTCATGCACAGGCTGGAGTCCTGGCCTTCAGCCACCTGAACCCCTGCCCACTTGGCAGCCTACAGGTTTCCTGACAAGTGTCTGACCAGCTGCCAATCTCTATTCTCCCCAAGAGCTGTCTGCATCTCACTGGCAGCTGTAGTGCCCACTTGGGTTTAAAAATAAACTCATTGTCTGCTTTTTCCAGTCTGACCCCAGGAACTTCTTCCAGGTTGAGCCTGATCCTGACTGACTCTGAAAATAAGGGGCCACTGTTGTTCCAGAATATGTTCCAGTGTCTCACAGAGGACAGACCACATGAGGTTCATCCCAAGAAACTCGATTGTGCCGTGAGGCACCTGTCAGTTCTCGGATCTGAGGGTCATTCCTGGGTTGATTCCAGCACACAGGCAAGGCTGACCTTAGGACTGCTCAGATCAAGGTCCTTATAAGACCAGTCTCCAGCCCACCTGGGCGCTTGCAGAGGTGGTGTGGACACACCTGTGCCTACCTGGGTGGGGCTCCTCCCTCCCCCCACCATTTAATTTCACCTTCCTTGCTCTCAACAAAACTCACCCATTCCCGCCCCTTCTCACCCAGGTAACCTCTCCCCTCCTGCTTCCCACGCAACCTGAAACCCCACTCTAAGGCCCTGCCAGCCCCCCTCAAGAGGGTTAATTTTTTAAATTCATTTTATTATCATTAATCTACAATTACATGAAGAACATTATGGCTAATAGACTCCCCCCTTCACCAAGGCCCCCCCTACAAACCCCATTACAGCCACTGTCCTTCAGCGTAGTAAGACGCTGTAGAATCACTACTTGTCTTCTCTGTGTTGCACAGCCCTCCCTGTGCCACCCCCCACATTGTACATGCTAATCATAATACCCCCTTTCTTTTTCCCTGCCCTTATCCCTCCCTTCCCACCCCTCCTGTCCAGTCCCTTTCCCTTTGGTAACCATTAGTCCATTCTTGGGTTCTGTGAAAGAGGGTTAATGTTTTACTTTGAACCCCAACTCCTCCTCCCTTCTCAGGACATCATTCTGCCATTTCCCAATCCTCTCCCCTGCTATCTTCTACTTCTCTCTCCCATAACCCAAGACCTTTCCATCCTTAAAAACAAAAACAAAACCCACCACCACCAGAACTGTCCCCTGGCCACCAATCCATCTTCACAGTCATACTTCTGGATGGAATTGTCTGCCCAGACCATCAGATTCCTCCCCAATCAACCGGTCCTTGGAGCAAACACCGGTTGCCCAGTCCACCTCCTCCAATCCCACTTCTGGGTCCTGGTGACAGCCCACTCCACTCCTCTGCTGTGCCCTCTCCGGCCCTCTCAGTCCCAGAGCCCTGGCTTCCCTCTCTGTCCCCTGCTTGCCTCTCCAGCTCATTTTGGGCCCATTTTTCTCTCTAGGCTCCAACCTTGGGAATGTCTGTCAGCTCCTTGAAGCTTCTTCTACTTCAAGGTTCTTGAAGGCCCTTGGGCCTTCTCCGTTTACAACTTCACCCCCACTTTACTTGAACTCTATTCATCCTGTAGGTCTCAATTTATGCTGCTTGCTCCAGGAAGCCAGCCTGGGTTGGATGCCTCCCCCATGTGCTCTTAGAGCACTTTCTAGTTCTACTTCCGGGATCAGGGTCCTCAGCACACTGTATCAGGAGACTGTTTACACCCCCAGAGGCAGCCTCAGCTCCATGAAGAAGGCTCTGCTTCTTATGGTGTCATATTTCCAGCATGTAATCTGGTACCTGCAACATTCACGGTGCTTTA